GAAAAAGAACAAAAGGTACTGGAGAATGTTCTGCATCAGTGTCAGCTGGAAGGAATTATTCCTCAGCGTAGCCAAGATTGAATATTTTACCTGTCAAGCCTAAATTTTCACTATTTCACTACAAGATTTTCTTATCTATATACATTTAAATCTGAGTGTTTCACCATCCTTGGAGGTGGTTCTTATGATCTCTTTCCATTTCATTTTTGTCTTTTCTTGCTGTCATACTATGTAGCTGTCTCTTGAAGAAGACAACTCACTGTTCCTCAGAGTCTGCTGGAAAAGATTGTCTAGGTGTTAAAATTTACTCTTGATACCTCCATCTACTGCATAACTTTTAATTTCATTTGGATAACTGGATCAGTAGATGTGTGAAGCATACCTTTAAGATCTTTTTTTCTTCCTATGAAGCTTCTGCTTTTCAATTAGTAGATAATCTTCAAAGTTATTCTCTTTCTGTTTTCTCTATAAATCTCTAGTTGTGTTTAAGTTTTCATGATACCCATACTACAGAAATTTCCATTGTCCTTGCTTTTAAACAGATTTCAAAGAACTACACTGTTGAGCAGAATTTGAGGTGAAATTACAGAAACAGCTCTTTGCATTATGTACATTCATACCATTTTAATTACTGAACCTAGTGGTGCTCAACCATGGGTGTAAAATACATTAGAGAAACAGAATAGACGGCTTTTTTATCTTCCTTTCCCTACGGCTTGTTGAGCCCAAACTGTAACCCAGATTGTCATGTCTCCAAGCCTGCAATGAGCTCTGCCTTGCAATGCATCTCAGAATTTGACCTACAAATTAAATTCAATTTAAAAAACCTACAGATCTGATCTGTGGTCACTTCAATTGCAATCTTGATTTAATACATTATGCAAATTGTATACTTTATATTGGAGAGTATTCATGAAATGCAGGTCTCAGCTTTCTGTCTGAAGTTCAGGAGAACTGCTGGAGGATCATATCTGTTGGTAGGACAGGATTCTTAAGCAAGTAGCACCAGTGTTGGCTTTTTTTTTTTTTTTTTGGCTACTCTGCTGTCCTGTTTGGATGGGTCAGGAACTCTGGTGAGCTTCAGCTTCTTCAGGATTTACACCAGAGGAGTTCTGCATCATCATTCAGGCTGGTCACATCAATATGTAGTGAAGCAATGAAGTCCAATTGATGTTATTTTGCTTCAGTGCCATGGAGCGACCAATGATGTACAGAGTCTTGGAGAGCCTTAGTTTATAGTCTTCTGTTTTTCCTGGGTTTACGCTATGTTACAACACACCATAGCAATACTGACCAACTGTGAATTCAGTAGCGACTTCTGTGAAAAAAAACTCCCCAAAATCTATACCTTTCACTTTTCAGTTGATGATTCCTTTCTATCCTAAAAAAAAAAAAAAAAAAGGACAGGTACCAAAGTGAGCTGTCTACAGAGATGTTAGCACTTCTGGATCCCACCTCTAATCTGTGAAGGGATAGAATTGCACAGATGCAGCTCTGCTGCTTGTTCAGGGTTGTAGACCACATTGTCTATAACCTCAAGTGTCCCACTGCCTTTTAAGTGAGAACATTTTTCCCAATCGCTTATTAAATATTTTTTTACTATAAGAAGATTGCTTCTCCCCTTTATGGATATAAGTTGCTCACTGTTTTCTTTAAGCCACCTTTTACATAGTTGAGGACATCTGCTGTCTCACTCCACAGTCAACTCTTTTGTAAACTGAACACATCCACTTCTTTCATTTTTTTCTCATCATCCTTCACAAACTATTTAACATTCTCACTGTTTTCTTTGGCAGGTTTTTCAGTGTAATTGCTTCTTCCTCTGCTGCATTCTTACAGTATACTCTGCTTTAGCACTGCCATTGGCTTAAATAAATAGAAATAACTTCCCTTTTTCTGCACTTAGGGTATTCTGTTAGTAAGTGTCTTGGTCTTCTTTCTCAGAGTGCCTTCTGCAGTGGGGTTGTTTATTTATACAGTTCATTTCCCTTTTTGCATTTCTGTGTTTGATGTGTTTAATTCCCAAGTTCAGAGTTTTGCCTTTCTTTTTATTGAGTGTAACTGTGCTGATTTCAGACTGTTTATGAGATCGTGTTAAGTGCTACTCTTGTTTTTCACAATTTATTCCAATCTGATGTGAACACATTTAATCATTATATTCATTATTACCATCATCAGTGCTGTAAATAAGATAGTAGACTGGAACTAGGATGAAAACAAATTACATTGCTCATTTACAGCAGTACATTGTTTGAAATCTCTTCACAATCTTCTTCTAAACTATGAATGACCACATCTTGTATAAGGGTTGGTGTTTTTTTTTAAGAAGGTAAGCAGCTAGCTATGATGACTCCATCAAGACATTATCTTTTTATTTTGCTTAACGGAATGATGTGAAGCATACTATCAAAAGTCTTACTGAGGCCAGTAGAATTATCACAGAAAAGTATTAAAAGGTTTCATGTGACTGCCCTTTGATAAATCATACCCTTTGATAAATCATTATGGCTTCAAGTTGTGCCAGGGGAGATTCTGTTTGGATGTTAGGAAATACTTCTCCAAAAGGCCAGGCACTGGAATGGACTGCTCAGGGAGGTAGTGGAGTCATCATCTGTGGAGGTATTCAAGAAATGTTTAGATGCTGTGATGAGGGACATGGTTTAGGGAGAACTGTTGGTGATAGGTGGGCAGTTGGATTGGATGATCTTGAAAATCTTTTCCAACCTTGGTGATTCTATGATTCTATGAGTCCACACTGGCTGTTCTTCAGTATCTAAAAGATGTTTTCCTTATGTCTAACCTAAATCTACTCCATTTAAGCTTGAAACCATTTCCCCTTGTTCTAACAGACTCTGCTAGAGTCTGTCCCCTTCTTTCCTGTAGATTCCCTTTAGATATTGAAAGGCCACTCTCAGGTCTCCTTGGAGCCTCCTCTTCTCCAGGCTGAACACTACCAGCTCTCTCAGCCTGTCCACAAAGGAGAGGTGTTCCATCCCTTGGGTCATTTCTGTGGCCCTTCTTTGGTCTCTGTCTCTCCTGTACTGAGGACTCCACATGTGGATGCTGTATTCCAGCTGAGTATTCTTTGACTGGAGTGATTTATTTTGCAGATTCTTACTTCTGAGTATTGTGGATGCTCTGGAACTAATCTTGAAGAACTTTTTTTCCGCCAGGTGGTTTGACTTGTATAAGTTTTTACCAGGCAGCAAGTCTGGCCCCTTGTCCACATGCGTGCTTCCTCTTTTATGAATAAACATTCATACCATTTCCTGTTCAAAGATGACCCCATACATGGTGTAATTTATGTCTTTTCTTTTTTTGGCAGTAACTTCTGCAATACACTGTAACATAGGTTTTTGAACACATCTGCTTCTAGGTCTTTTACTTTCATCAATGTGTTTCTGTACAGGGTAGAAAACAATTTGCTCTGTTCGAAAGAAAATCGTGATTTTGAATAATCTGAGCTTTATGTTATACCTTGTTACATATATTCACTGTCTGTAGTGGAAAGATGAAAAGAATCATTGTGGTATACAAGCAGTTTTCCTTTTCAAAATAGTGCAAAAATAATGAGGAAATCCACAGTTTTCTTCATAGTTCCTTAATGGTTTCTTGCTTATATAATTATGGAATTGCCTTTAAAAAAAATTCCAGTCTTGTCCTGCCTGGTATTTGGAATACCAGTGTTGGTTGCTGACAGTGGATCCCTTTTCTTTCTCTGTAATTCTGGCTTTGCTCTGTCTGCAGTTGCTGCTGCCTCTAGAGTGGAACCATGTTGCTCTCAAAACTGGTGCAACCTCCAAACAGCTGCTCGTATTTATGCAGCTTTCATTTTAGGAGTCAAACCTAATGCCTGTAATGAGATGCCCATCTCTTAACAGGAGGAGAAATGGGTTCAGCACATGCTGGGTTTTGCCATACTAGAGAAGAACAGCAGTAGCCAGTGTCACCAAACACATCAAATAGTCATGGAAATCAAGAGGCTGCAGGGGAGAGAAGCTGCAGAACAAGCATGCAAACTCTGCCATGCAGCACCTGGTATATCTAAGGCTCCCACTAATTTCTGCTGGAGCTGGAAGAGAATCTAATGCAGAAGAGAAAGTCTTCTTTCTTCTCTCTGTGTTGGCTGCCCTGGTGGGTTGGTGCCAGAAGGTTTTTCTTTTTACTTAGAATCTGCTTAACTGGCTCTTGTTCTTTGAAAATCTTGTCCTGAGTATTCATGGTGAAATGTATTGTACTTATTTTGGCATTATTTCAGGGCTGACTGTTCTTAAATCATATTCAATATTTATTGATTTATTGCACTGAAGAATGAGCAAGCTACTCTGACTACTGGCTTTGCACACTAAGTACATACAACTGTGCTGTCACCCTAACTTCTGAAAAACTCAGTACTGGCATCTTTTTGCTCCCACTGAAGTCAGCTAATTAGTTCTTAAGATGATTTTTCCTCAAGCATTCAGCTGAGAGGGCAGACTGATTTTGAAATCCGTGCTTTCATTCATCTTGTGTGGTTCAGAGCAGACTACGCTATTAACATAAATCTGGGCTCACGCTGTACAGTGAGTGGTCCTGCCTTGCTTTCGTCCGCTGGTCAGTTTAACAGTTCGTTAAAGTATTTTCCTCTCTGATGTTCATTAATCTTTCTATGGTTTATTATTCTGTAATTCTGTTCTGCAGAAACAAAGGTGCAAGTGTTGCTGCACAGTTTGCAGCCATATTTGACTTGAGGGCAAGATTATTCTTTTTTGCATGGCCTTTCCTAGTTGCAAGGTTAACATAATAATAGAAACTTGTGGAAAGTGTGTCAGGATGTCAATTACTTCGGACTGCAAATTATTTTAGGAGGTCTGCATGAACTAAAATGCAAAAGGATTCTAGAATATAATCAAAATATGTTTCTAAACTCTGTGACAGTACTCTGAATTGGCTGATGTCTAGGACTTGGCATTTAGATGTGAATAATTGTAGTTATAAGATTTTTCTCTGCTTAATTAAAGGTACTCCTCTGCAGAAGTAAGAAAGCAATTTACCCTCCAACCAGGCTTTGCACAGTTCTGTCAGCGTAGTTTAAGTACTCCTGGCTTTTCTACTCTTCATCTGGTAAGTTCTGAATTTGTCTTCTCCTTACAGGTTCAGCCATTTGCATTACATAACATTTTTAGGCTAAGTTAAGTGAGCTTCTTTGTCCATTTTGCTTTCCATTGTCTTCTTTCAAAATATGTTCAAAATCCTTCTCAATCAGCGGGAAAATTACACATTTGAAGGAACTGGGAGTGGTCCTCAGAGTCTGAAATAGACAGTCTGCATACTACTGTAAACCAAAGAAAAGTAGTTAAGTATTGGAGTATACTGCAGCCATGCCTTGACAGAGACATTCAGCTCCACCAGGTAAATGCGTTGTGTGAGGCCAAAGATGATCTGCAAAAGGAGATCTGTGAGTGAAAAAGAAAAAGTATGGTGGAGACTCAGCAAGGCTTAGAATCATAGAATATCCCAAATTGAAAGGAACTCACAAGAATCACCGAGTCCAACTCCTGGCTACACAGAAGACCACCAAAAACCAGACCCTGTGTCTGAGTACATTGTCCAGATTAGTCTTGAATTCCAGCAGCTCAGTGCCATGACCACTGCCCTGGGAAGCCTGTTCCAGGGCCCAACCACCCTCTGGTGAAGAACCTTTTCCTGGTATGCAGCTTGACCCTCCTCTGTTGCAGTTTCATGCTGTTCCTTTGGGCTCTATTGCTGTTGCTTGCTTAATGAACAATTCCCAGAGCCAGCAGCCAAAACTGTGTGCTGACCTTGTTTTCAGCGCTGTTGAGTAAACATGTTAAGTGAAAAATGGTGAAGAATGTCTTGATTGACATAAGCTTTACTGAGTCAATGGTTATGCGATCCAAATCATCTTCAGCTTGTCATGCAGAAATCAGTCCGTATGACATTGCCCTTATGACAAAGGGAAATGCTGCCAGGTCTTCTTAATTGCTTTTCAAGAGGATAAGTATTCTGCAAGTGTGCTATGCCATTCCAAAAAAAGCCATGCTTGTCTGAGACATTGATACTTTTTTTTTCTTCTTTTGGCTAAGACCCAGAAAGTGGGAGGAGGAAGTCTTTGTGCACCAGTGATTGTGAAAAATGGAGAACAGGAGCTGTAAGCGTTTACTTCCTGTGTGTCAGGGCCTCCCGCCACAGCTCACTTCCTTAATCTGAAGTGCTGCGGTGCTTTAGCTTGCTGGTTGTGGTTGTTCAGCCTTGGGAGGCTGGGTTGTCTTCTGCCGGCGTACAGTTGCTTTAGCTCTTGAGAAACGCGGTAACGTTTCATTTCCTGGATGTTGCACCATAGCTGCCATTTTGTGTGCTGTCACAATCCGCATGCCTCTAGTCCACCCTCCTTAAAAAGGTATGTTTGTGGTGATGCTTTGTGGCGTTTTCTATAGCATGATTTCTTTGCACACCTCCATACTCCAAAACAGTATCTCTCTTTGTATACTTTATACGTTGCACATTAGAAAGACCATTACCCTCCTTCTCATTTACCTTTTCCACCATCTTTTCCACTCGTCTCTAATCTGCAGTGGTCAAAAGCATGCTGTTCCAGCGATTAAAGATTATTATTGTCACTTCAACAAGACAGAGTTGCAAGAATAATGAAAGGCGATGTATTTGACTTGCTGGAACAGAAAATTGTGATTTCTGAAAGGATGTGCAATGCTTAATTGAAAATTAGATTTTATTAAGCAACATTATTTTGTATGCAAAACATTTCATCTTCAACAACTGATAAGATATAAGATGTGCGGTGTGGTTTTTTTAAATTGAAGCTGTGTTTTGCTTTAATCTTTTGCATTTTGTTTTGTACAGCCCTATATATGTTTTCATGCATTAACATTTAATATTTTACCCACTAGCAGTATAAGTCAACTTTGAGGATACTGTCTGAAGACTGTACTGAATATTAAGGAGAAGTTAAAAGCTAATAAAGATCACTATTTACTCAGAACTCCTGAGCCTGTATGTTCAGCTCTCCGCTAGGTATAAATCAGATCATGCTTAACCTATAGTTTTGTGAACTTCTTCAGATGACTGCTTCATGATTCCCTGTTTTAGACTTTACCTATGAGTAAGAAAAGCAAAGAAAGAGGGAGATTTTCCCTAAACGGGTTCTGGAGAATTCTGTTGATTCCTTAAGGGTAAGCTCTGACATTTTATTCGTGTGGAGATCCAATAAAAGAAGAAGCTGTGGTTTATTTGACATGTGTCTCAGTGGTCTCTACTCCATCATTTGCCACATCTGTTCTTTTTCAAACATGCAGCATGCTTTGTTTCTAGTGTATTTTTTCTAAACATACTTCACTTTTCTCAATGTTTTTGAGTTTTTATTAGCTGAATAAATTCCCCTGTTATATTTCCAAAACACTAATAAGCTTTCAATACTTGCATTATACCATATATATGATTTTTAATTAACCTTCCTATCTACAATGACTGATGTGGCAAAGTGTATATGAGCCATGTTAGTTCAGAGCTACCAGAGCATTGCTACCGTTAAGCACTCTTGTACCTTTCGTAAGTTGTAGAATTCTTCATTTGTCCTTTTGTGATAAAATTTCTGTGTGAAACACTGTTATTTACGGAATTATTATTTACTTCCTACATCACTGTTATTTACTTCATATTCAGGTGAAAATCCTGTCCACTTTCCTGAGAGTCTTCCTTCTGTAGGACCCAGTGATAATGAGAGAAGAAGAATAGCTTCAGAATACTGGATGAGACTGTTGTCACAGTAGTGTTGCATATAAAGGCAGTATCGTTATTAAGGACATCAGGAGCCTTATTTTCTGCACACTCCATCATCAGAACAAAATAAATTATCTATCTGATCAAGGCTGAGACAAACTGTTGTTGGCAGCTTCAGAATGCAGTTGTGTGAGATGTATTAGGTCAATGTGTTACAATGCAATCCTTACTCTTTACAGTTAAGGATGATTTGACGGATATTTTTGGCTAAATTATTTCCTCCTGATAAATTAACTATTGCAGGGTTGTTATTTTAATGCTCTTTTTGTCCTTGCTCTGAATTGCGCTTAGGCTTCCATGGTATTTCTGGAACTCACAGAACATTAGAGTCTTCTAAAGCTGTAGTTCTTGAACTATTTGTTACGTGTCAAGACAATCAATAATATGAAGTGCTAAACTCTGTACACAGCTGGATAGGTGTTTTATTTTGTGCATGTATATAAGCTATTTTTATCGACTATATAGAAAGTAGATTATTTTTTTTTATCTGCACATGGAACAATATAATAAAAACAACACATGAAGTTACATTTATGTGTATGTAGAACAATTACAGGTACAATAACAAACAAGATTTTTTGCCTCTGTGTTTGAAAATGAACAGACAGAAAGAGACAAGTGGCTTTGTAGCATTCATGATTGGCACAGCTTGCACTTGTTAAACTTTCTTGTGAATAGAATGTTCTGTATAAAAATGATTTATAAAATATAGCCAAATAAATTTGCTTTCTGTCAGGGTACATGCCATAGCAATGGTGAATATCTAAGGTTTGCAATAACAACTTCAGTAGTTCCATGTAATCTTTTGTGTAGTTACTATTCTAACTGTTGAAGTAAAATTAAAATCCAGAATAACTGAGTGGCATCTGCATGACTATGACTATTGCCAGCTCCCTGCGAGCTGGCCACTGCCTGTCACTCTCTTCTTGGTCACCTCGGCCTTGTTCTTGCTTGCTGCTGCCCTTTCAGATTGGAAGAGAGGGACTAGGTGCACTTCGCAGGGATCATGCAATTACCAGCATCTGTGAAAGCTCAGCAAAGAAAATAGGCGCATATTTAGTTTTAGCTGTAATACCTTCTTTTGTGTGTTAAAATTTTCTTTTTCATCATTTCTTTTTCAGCTAATTGTTTTGTTTTCCCTGCATTCAATGCAGTGGCAGAATACATAAGGTTAGAAGTCTGTTCCTGTACTTAATAAACAAGGGATAAAGAGAAAAAGAAATGAGCCTAAAAAAAAAAAAAAAAACAAACACCACTCACTTTTAAAAAACACTTCTCTTGCTAAAACAGACACCTCTTTATTTCTTTCCTTAGCCTTCCTTTTATGATGCAGTAGACCCAGTAGATTTCGAAGGCTTCCTGATGACACAGCTGAACAACTTGGACTCAGAAATGGCACATGAACTTGGTGATTTTCCTGAAGATGACTTGGACATTGTCTTTACACCTAAAGAATGCAGGACTCTGCAGCCTTCTATGCCAGAAGATGGGTAAGGAGACTTTTTCTCTCTCTGAAATGAAACAGATTTAAAAATAGTGTTGAACAGAAAGATGTTAATGTCAGTTAACCTCAGTCTCCCATCTGTCCAGCCATCATGCAGTTACTTTAAACATCTGTACTTTGCCATTGATTCTGTTACTCTCTTTAGGACAGTTAAAGTCTAGTAAGGACTTCACTGCCTAGCTGTTAGCAGCAGGTATGAGGTGGTAGTAGACCAGGAAGAACAGGGGAGAAGGACAGTAAACTAGTATGAAAAATGATTTTATAGCTGTGACTCCTTATGTTGATTTGTAAGATCAAATTTTCTTTCTTTCTTTCTTTTTTTTTTTTTAATTCCCTCTCGGCTGTTTATTACATGGCATTGATCAGATCACTCAGTGTCTCTTATTCAGTATCTTTCTTGCTTAATAATCACAAGGTTTTGAGGAAGGAATGTATGTTGATTTCTAGTGTAGAAGTCATTTCTGCATCCAGGTAGATATAGGTAGCTATTAATGAAATAATTAGGAAGCTTTCCACTGTTTTCAACAGCTTTTAGATTAAAATAGTTTCCATGCTTCATAATGGTACTCAGCCATCCTCAAAATATTTAAGCTAGTTTGATAAACAGGAAAAATACAGGCAGCAGAATTTTTTTAAATGAGAAAAAATAATGACTTGGAAATTTTGCTAGTGGGGTTCAGAAGGGTTCTAAACATTGTATACAAAATAGTTTCCAGGGATTGTTTGTCTAGAAACGGTACCCTCAAGTAAAACCACAAAAGCATAGCCAAGTTTGCAAACGGCAACAACCAGATAAATTTGAAGTCAGCATAAGTTAACCCCAAACTGCTTTGTGTGCAAAGACAGCTAAGGATGCGTGTTTGGTGTGGGGCCTGGCTCCTTCAGTTTGTCTTCAGTGGTTTTTTCCCAGCATGCCAAAAGAGACGGAGGCTAAGGTGGAATGACAATTCAGATGATTTTCATTGTGGACTATTCTCATTTCTGTGGACTGAGATCACTTCTCCCCTGTGCACACATATTTCCAGGATCATTTTGTAATACACCTGTCATTTAAAATAGTATTTTTCTGTTTCTACTCAGTGGTACTAAAAGATGTTTCAAGGAATCTGTGAAAAAAAGAGGGGAGTCAATAACAACTAATGTGTAGACTTCTTTTATACAGAAAATCCCTGTTTAGGCGTTCAAACCACTCATATGGAAATTGATGTTACAAAAAATCCAGGCAAAGGATGCATAGTATGTTAGGAAGAAGAGCATTCAGGAAGGTCATGCTTCAGAAATTTGCATGCAAGCAGTGCAGCCTGTGGTATCTTCCTGCCGAAAGCAGGAAGTAGATACCACTGACCAGGCAGCGTTAATATGCTGCCTGCTGACAAAAGTGTGTACCATCCGATGCAGGAAGTCACCATGTGCTGCCTTATCCCACCCTGGCATGCAGTGGTCTGTTTGTCTGAACCCCAAAAGGTTGTTAGCCAGCCTGGGCTGCAGATCTGTTAAGAGTTCTTGGTGGAAAGAGCTGAGAAGTGTTACACCTTTCTTCCAGTCCTGCAGCATCACTTGTCCTCACTTAACAAGCAGTTTTTGCACAGGTCACTAGTATAATTCAGAGTAGGAGTACAGAAATTTTGCTACAACATCATGACAGAACATTTATGGAAACTGACCCTAATTTATTAAATTTCAGTGCCAGTCAGCATCCATTTGCTCAAGCAGTACTGCCAACTCCCTACATTTACATCATATTTTCAGATCTCAACATTTTGTTGAGCTTTTGGAATTTTCTCCAGTTCAGTATAAAAGAAAATGATACTAAAGTCATACTAAGGATCTGTATTTTCACGAGTACATGAGCTGATGCCTCTAGAAAAAATATCTCTATTTGTTAAAAAGTTTTGGAAAAACTCGGAAGAAGGGTACCTGGTGTACTTTGGTTTGTTTTACAGTACTTTATAGCAACATCTGTCATGAAATGCTTGGTGTGGTAAATAGTTCTCTCTGTTAAATGCATGTCTGTTAATTTAGAAACCCAACAACCCAAACCCGCATCTGTGTAGTCATTCAGTATACCTGTTGTTTAAAACTGAAATGTAGCTTAGTAATACAATAAACATACAGCGGTGGACTAGCAGAGATCCCTTTATCTGTACAGCATGTTCAGTTACATTTCTTTTTCCTTAAGGCATGACCTAGGTACTACAATATATCCCATTTGTTGCTTTTTCCCCAGGGTTGAGCTGGATTCACATGTACGAGACTGTGTTCAGACCTATATCCGGGACTGGCTGATTGTGAATAGAAAGTAAGCTACCCACAAGTAAATGGAATAGAAAATACCTTGTATACTATTTTACATGCAGAAGATGCATTGTTATAAATAATCTGAAAGAATAACAATTTGAATCAGTACCTGAAGATAAAAGTGGACTTCTCGGTAGTTTTACTCTACTGTTTTGTTTGAGATGGTGGGCTTTGCTAAATATTTTTGTACCTGCTTCTTAATTATTCAGGTTCCCCAGGAATTAATCAGGACGTAATTCACATTCAGTCTGTAGCAATGATCCTTCATCTTGATCTCTTATCCCTTCCATCTTTTTATCCTTTTATCTGATGCTTGAAGAATCATTTTGTGTTTGTTTGTTTAAACTCTGTGGAAGGACAATCACAGTTTGTCCATTTTCATATATGGCTGTTGGCTGTCCAGTCTTTTTAATCCTTTCAGACTCTTTTCTTACTATCTACACCGTACAATTATACACTATTTACTCAATATATTTTGAGGTGTCACAGTCTGACAAGGGTATAAAACAACTGAGTGTCCAAAGAGGGCTACAGAGATGGGGAAGAGTCTAGGGGGCAAGGTGTGTGAGGGGCAGCTGAGGCCCCTGTGTGTGCTCAGCTCAGAGCAGAGGAGCTGAGGGGAGGCCTGATGGCGGCTGCAGCTCCTCACAGGGAGCTGAGGGCAGCGCTGAGCTCTGCTCTGTGTGACAGCGACAGGGCCCGAGGGAACGGCGTGGAGCTGTGCCAGGGGAGGGGGTTGGGGACAGGGTTCTTCACTGAGTAATCTAATTTCTAATGGTTTGTGAAAAGGAAGCAGAGTGCCAAAAAGGAAAAAGAAGATTACAGATGTTCTTTGCGGTGATTGGTAGTATCATTGGATTATTAGCATAACATCCAAAAAACTATTTTCTGTCTGTGAGGGATTGTCTCTTGCTGTCTGTGAAGGAGTTGTGTTGTTAGTTCTGCACTCTGCTGAGGGCTGTGAGGAGACTTCCTCCAGGGGCTTATGAAATTGGTTCAGTTCTCAGAAGTGCACATGGTGAGTCACCAGGAAGAAGCTGGTGGGTTTTTGCAGGCTCTCTACCTACACGGCGCAGAGCACGGTGCTCGCTCCGTCACACAGCTCTGCTCTGAGCACTCTGTAGAGAGCCAGCCTTGTCTGTGCACACAGATAAGGACTGAGCAACCCAGTAGGCGCAGCAGACAGTACCGTGTGGCTGTGTTTGCTGTTCTGTACTCGTGTAGAAATGTGAATGGAGCCAGAGAAAGACACTTGCTTCAAAAGGCTTTTAGGGTGATTTTATGTCTCGCTGATTCAGATGAGGCAAATTTGCAGATACTTTATTTAGTCTGAGGCCTCCCAGAAAGCTGATCTTTGATGGCTAACAGTGCAAGCAGGTTACTAAAAATTACAAAGGGAAAGAAAGCATGAAAGATGCTTTAGGGTCACGTAAATCAGGAGTTATTATTGGGAGCCTTATGGCACCATTCTCAAAACAAATCTGAGAGTAAGCAAAGGAGTAAAGAGAGAAAGAATACGCATAGAAAGCTTTCCATCATGCCGAGAAAGACTGAAAAGTCACTGGTTGCCAGCTTATGAAACAAAGATTCATAGGGCAGGGATCTCGGCTTACAGTCTGGAGAACTGTGAGAGGAGTGTGTATGTAGCTCTTGTCCATTCCTGGATATGAAGGCTGAGAGTAGCACAATGAAGAGGAGAAAAGATTATGGTCCTCATGCCTCAGAGAAGTGGGACGTGAATAAGAGGGTCTGGGCACAGCAGTAGGTCTGTGTGATTGTAGTGAGTCTGGCTGACACAGAGTTCACATTACCCACAGCAGCCCATACAGTGATGAGCTCTGCACTTGTGGCTAGAACTGTGCTGATATCACACTGGTGTTTTTTCTATGGCTGGACAGCACTGACACAGAATCCAAGCAGGTGTTCTGGAGTGGGCAAGAGGTGGGAGGGGACAGCACCAGGGGAGCTGATCAGAACTGATCAAAGGGACATTCTGTAGCATATGGGATCAGACACTGGCAAAGGGGAAGGAAAAGGGCAATCTTGTTATTAAAACATCTGTCCTCCCAACCAACTTCTGTGTGTATCAAGGCCCTGCTTCCCAAGATATGACTGAACATATGAACACTTGCTAATGGGAAGTAGAGAATAATTGTTTTCTCTCTCTTTGCTTCTGCATGGCCTTTGTTTTTAATTTCTCTATTCTTTAGTTAAATTATCCTTATCTCAAGGAAGCTTTTTTCCTATCATATTTTCTCCCCTGCTCCTTTTGAAGAAGAGGAGCAAGAAAGTGGTATGGTGGAGTTTATCTGGTTATCAATGTGAATTCACTTCAATAGTTCTGCTATTGGCCATGGGGAAGCAAGTTGCCTTGTCTGTCAGTTTCTCCTGTCAGTCATCCCTCATTTCTTTCTCTTGCCCCATTTACTGATTTCAGTGTAACCATTAATTTGACATGTCTACTGAAAAATGGGCTTGCCTCCTGTTGTGTTTTAATTGCTACTGCCCTTTAAAAACAAATAAGTGATGTTCCAGGAACACTTTAGAGTGTATCTTATACCTCATAGGAAAAGTGTGACCTCTGGTTGGCAAATCTTTGCATTCATCATTGATTTGTCACTGGAGATAGTGGAAAAAAAAATCAACAGAGCCTCTTGTAAATGCTGAAGTGTCTTAAAAGAAGGTTGTGTATAATTCCTGTCTCCCATTCTGAGTAGTATATGCAATTCCAAAGCCATGTCACATCCAAAGAGAGTCAATAATTTATCTTTAATGCCTTCCATTTTCATTTGCACTGAACTGGTAAATGATTCAAATAATTAACATTAAAATACATATAATACATATAATTCACTTGCACCCAAAATGTAATAAAAAGGTGTCTCCCTGATCAATAATGACTTATTGTGACATCGCAATGAAAGTACTGAAATATTTAAATGTCGCTTGTGAGTGCTGTGGAAAGGAAAATGAATGAAGCTGGACAGTGTGACTAAGGGGACTGATTATTAAAATGCTACTACAGAATTTAGCAAATTTTTTGAAAGGAGAGAATAGTCTAAATGCTTGACTTAAGGGCAGTAGCTATGTCTAGGCATGCTAGAGACCAAATGACATCTCAGACAAGCAGCGAGCTCCATGGTGCAGAAGCAGAGAGCAGCTAAAAGGCAGGTGTTTCTGACCAGTATTTCTAAGATCACTGAAATAATCACTTTGTCTTATGACTAGCTCACAGCTGAATTGATTCCTAGATCAGGATTTTCCTGCTGTCTCAGGGTGAGAATATAACGATGTGAGTGAATTTTCTTCATTTTCAAACTATCCTTCATATCCATTGTAAAGCTACAATGGTTGGATGAAACATTTGAACATCGCAAAATGTCGCATTTTGTGTAAAGGTTATGGTGTGCTGTCCTTCTCCGCAATTATGTTTCTAATTTTTAGTTTTTCTTCTTCTGTTTTATTTTCCCCTAATTCTTTTTTGTTCCATCCTGATTTGCTTGGTTTTGTCTCTGAAAGGAACCAAGGGAACTCATACATTTGCAGTTTGAAAAATAAGGGATCCCGAAAAGATTTTCACAAGCATCTGCAGAAACAAACGTTTGAATCAGAAACTTCAGACTCTAGTGAAGCAAGCTTTCAGGTATCTTTCATTATCTTTGGTAAAAGTTATTAAATATAGAATATATTTAATATATTCCTCAAGGGAAGCAAAAATCCTGTGTACAGAGACCTCTGCAGCAGGTAGCCCTTCCTTATAGGAAGTTTCTGTCACCATTGTTTGTAGAGCCTGGGGATGTTGGTAGTAGAGCTGGTGTGGCTGTGTAGTGCCCCTGACACCTCCTGTTCAGGGAAGCGTGGGCAGCAAAGTAGGTCGTGGGCTGATGGAGGCCCACCAGCTGCCTCCTGCTCCTCAGTGTGGATGCAGTCAGGCTCAGAGATCTGAAGAATTACAGTGTCACCCTGCCAACAGCTCGCTGTGCTTTAGCTTCCGCCATGTCCACTTTGAAAGTTGAAGGTAAACTGCCCTTTCCCTTTGTTCCCCATGGATGCAGAGAGGTGCAAACTGGGGGACAGTGTTTACCATCATCTCCCACTTGGTGAGCCTCTTGGCAGCAGTGAAATTAAGGCAGCCTCTGAAAGACAGGCAAGAGAAACCTCATGATGCTCAAGCTACAGCAGGCAGTAAAAAGTTTAGTTCCTTCATTTTCTGACAGGTCGGGCCCAGGGCTGTGCACATGCTCCCTGAGGACACCTCCAAGACTGCTCCAGCCTCCTCTGACTTTGACCTGCGCAGCCTGCAGCCGGATCCCCGTCTGGAAAACCTGCTGCGGCATGTCAGTGCAGAGGAGTTTGAGAGGCAGAATGAGGAAGCCCGACGAACCAACAGGCACGCTGAGCTCCTTGCCCTCTACCCGTCTGTGGATGAGGTGAGATCACAGGGCTTCTGGCACTCAAGTCATACTTCATTGGGATGGAGGTTGTCCACATAACCATCAAAAATGTGACTCCTGGCCTGTCTTCCTGCTTCCCTTGCTTTTGTGTATCTCCCTTGAATAATAACACAGTGAAGGTGTGGCTTCACATGCCTGCCAGCCATCTTGAATGTGCATTCAAGCAGTTGTATCCAACTCATAGTGTTGCCTGAGGTCTTTCTACCTTCTTTTGATGTAAGTCAGGCCATGTTCTGCTAAAATGCTTGTGTCAAAACAAGCCACATTCATTTGGGAAACACCAGATGCAGGTGAGGCATGTAGGTATTTGTAAATTCATATCAGTTTTCTTTCTGACTGAAGAGATGAAGTGGCTGCTAAGTCAGGTGTTGTTTTGTAGCTGTGGCTCAGTTACATCACTTGAAGCTGTTATGTAAGCATGTAAATTTGCAATTATTTTAATTGCATTTGAACTGTTTAATGATAGGAAGATGCAGTGGAAATACGCCCAGTGCCAGATCGCCCAAAGGAACACCTGGGCAACAGGATTCTGGTAAAGCTGCAGACTCTGAAGTAAGTATCCATATATCCTGGTCTGGCAGGCTTTGGTGACACCTTTCAATTACAGTGTCTCTATTCGTGTGAGCATCTTGCTGCAGACTCACTAACATTGTATGTTCCTTATTCAACAAGAATTTACGTGCTTGCTTGTTCTTGCTTTAGTGTAATTTTGGCAGAAAACCATTTATATCAATAGTTACGGGAGTTTTTATCTTGTCAGATCAGAACGAAAAGGAGTTGGGGATGAAACCAAGTTATTTATTATAAACAAACTATATTGGTCTCTGTTCATAATAGTGATAAATTGAAAAAACATTAAGAATAGTGCAATCATTTTTAACTGATATTTGAGACCAGCTTTCTGACAAACTCAGAAAATACACTGCTGGCAGTTTACCTCCTTTTTTTTCCACTTGAAGTCGGTAAATAAAATGCACTAGCTAAAAAAAGAAAAATCTTCCAAACTTTAAGAGAGCCAAGGTCTGAATGAAGTACTTCTCCTCATTTTCTAAGGAAATGACAGCCTAAAAACCCTTTTGTTTTTTGTTCTACAGGGTCTTTAAAAGTAAAATATTAATGAGTGTGTCTTCCCTTAACAGGTTTGATATAGAGATTGAGCCTTTGTTTGCATGCATAGCTCTCTATGATATAAAAGAAAGAAAAAAGGCAAGTGTGCACTACAGCATAAATGGAATAATACTTGTTCATTCATTCATGTTTTCAGTTGAATTTCATGATAGTGTGAAAATTCTAGGATAGTTAGCTTTTCTTTGTTTCTTTTGTTCAATTGACTTACCTCTTATTTAAAACTTTTAACTCTAAAAATTATTAGAATTGCTTACAAAAAATATCTCAACTTTTGTATATGTGCATCCTGATCCAGGTTGCTTCAGTCGTGCTATAGTGTTTGCAGCTGTTTATTTTTTATTTCCACGTACTTCTTTTGACTTATTTTAAAATAACATTCAATTCATTTTTGCTTTACAGTACATTTTAAATTCTTTTTCTTTTCAAGATCTCTGAAAATTTCCACTGTGACCTGAACTCTGATTCATTAAGAGGATTCTTGCGTTCTCATACACCCTCCACCGACTTGTCTACTCTGGCAAGATCAGCAGTGTTTTCTGTCACTTATCCCTCATCAGATATATACTTAGTAATAAAGGTATGTTACAGTGGTACTTTCAGACCATTCTTCCTGTTCCCAACTGTGCCAATTGTCTGAGTATATGCAGTTGACTGATGTGATTTTCCCATAGCTGAGAGGCATTCTGATAATTTTTGATCATCTTTGTCCAAGTATCCACTGGTATATCTTGTTCCCAACCTAAGAAGTTTTATTAATATCTTCCGTTCTAGCCCAGCTGAGTGTTTAGGTTTTCCTATCTCTTCATAAGAAAAAAATTAAGTGAAATAAACAGTTTTAATTTTTTTTAATTGTGTTTTAGCGGAGTTTGTTTTGTTTTGTTTTGTTTTGGGTTAGTATGTTTTGCATTGGTCTGTTTATTTAATTCTGAAGCTAACTTTGCCCAAACCATTTCATTTGGAATGTGTTAATTTTTCTGCTTGTGGTGAAAATGCAGCAGTACCTGATAGGTAGTTTTGTTATATACATATTTTCTGCTTCCTAACTAACAGTAGGGGAAACTGGGAAAAGTTTATTGTACATTACTCTGTGAAGACTGTTTTAAGCATTATTTTTGGTAGATTTGGGCAGACTTTTCCATATCGTAGAGAAGTAATGCATTAAGTTTGGAGTTATATTTTTTATTTATGAGCATCTTATTTTACTGCTTTTTGTAGATAGAAAAAGTGCTTCAGCAAGGAGAAATTGGAGATTGTGCAGAACCCTACATGGTTCTTAAAGAAAATGAAACTGGCAAGGTAAGTAAACAACCATGAAAAGTGTTTGGATCAAAACATGCATGCAAAGGGGAACAGGGAAAGAACAGATCTTTTGGAATGGGACAGAACCCAAAGAACAATGGGGAAAAAGTCATTGTTAAATCCGTAGAGCAAGCAATTTGATGCCTGTAGTTGACATGAAGAATTCAGAAGAAGACAAGGTGCACTTTTGTTCCTAGTCACTTTGGAAATCAGTACTGATTCCGAAGTCTTGAGCCATAAAGTATCTATAGGTAAGTAAAGGAGATGTCAGTGCAGCATGGAGTTGGCACAAATATTTGTACTTCAAAGACTTCCTGCTGATCTGACTAGGCAACCTGTTGTGGTGTGTTATGTCCAGTTCAATGCAGACATCTGTAAATAACATCTTTGTTTGGGGAATTGTCATTTACCTTCCCTCAACCAGACTGATGATGTTTCCTCAAATCTCATATTTCTCACTTTCATCAGAATATTATTTCTGTATCTGATGAAGGAGATGGAACTTGCTCATGTTGTGATGATTACTCATGCTGGGCACAAGGGTCACTGCAAAAAGATCTGCATTCTCCTTTTTAGTAACAAGAATGAACTAGTTGAAATGGGAAGTGAATTTACAGATCAAAACAGCAATGGTGCTGACAGTGGTGTAACAGGAAGATGTGAGATAAGAATACAAATCATTTACTAAAATGTGAATAAATAAATAATTTTCCTTTTTTCTTTAAAATGAAGTTAGAATAACTGATTGCTTTTAAAACATTCATTATTTTCTTTGTCTTAGACAAAAGAAAAGATTGAAAAACTGAAAGCCCAAGCTGAATGCTTTTGTCAACGACTAGGGAAATACAGAATGCCATTTGCCTGGATTCCCATAAGTCTAACTAATTTCTTCAATGTTTCCACACTCGAACGAGAAGTATCTGAGGCTGAAGGTTTGAACGGTACTTGTTTAAGTTTTCTGACTAACACAAAGCAACTCTTCGGTGGTTCTGTGCTTAGGAAGCAATATCATTCATTTTTGTCCTCAAGAACAAATGACAGATTTAAATTCATATCTGCTCAGCTTTCCTTTTTAGTCTTACAAGCAAAAGTTAATATTCTCACTATTTCACCTCTGCATATGTATTTTTATATATTCTAAATATTCTTCAGTGTTCTAGGCCCTATTTTAGTTGAACTGGCTTTTACTATCTGGAATCCCTATCCAATAAAGAGTAATCAGAATATTTATCTTCTTAGGTTCTGGAGTGTACAAGAGATGTTTCAAGCTGCATCTAACACTAATCAATCTGCTTTGTAACTCATTAACTAAAAATATGAATAAGCTTGTGCTCTGCAGCAGAAATAATGTCACTCTCACTAGGTGTATTGTAGCATTCCATTCTTTCACATAGTCTGAAATACAGCTAGTGGGAAATACAGATAAAAGCTTAATGCTGTAGGTACTGATCTCTGTCCTCTGATGTAACTGGGAACTTGTGGATTTCTAGCATATCCTTATAGTCTTGATACTGAAGTAGCACAAAACAAGTTGGTATTTTATTTAATTTCTCTTTGAAGGGAAAGGATCAACTAGTGAGAAGAGGGCAACACTATTACAAGCAAGAAGACTTTCTGAGAGAAGTCTCAGCACTGAGGACAGTTATCCAGTGTCAAACTTCAAAACTGTCTCCCTGACCCACAGTACTTTCTTTAAACAGGTATAGGATGCTCTTTGTTTCTGACTGCCTAAGACACTTTTCCTGTGAGTTGTGTGAACTGTGTTGGGAAAAATTATCCAATGATGTTAGTGTTCAGAGAATAATTGCTGTTGACAGTAACTTACCTTTTTTGCATGTCTCAAGGTAATCACAAAATCATAGAATGGCCTGGGTGGAAAGGGATCTTTCAACTCCCCCGCTACATGCAGGGTGGCCGACCACTAGACCAGGATGCTCAGAGCCACATCCAGCCCGGCCCTGAATGCTTCCAGGGATGGGGCACACACAGCCTTCTTGGACAGTCTTTTGTTATGCAGTATTGCTATAAAGATAATGATTTTTGTCTTTCTCCTTGTAGGAAGGAGACAGGCTTAGTGATGAAGATCTGTTCAAATTTTTAGCTGATTTCAAAAGATCATCTTCCTTGCAGAGACGAATTAAGACTTTACCAGGTACACAATTCATTTTAAATGGAATAGTATATATGTACTTTTCTCCTTTAAACCGTTTTGTAAGTTTCAACCCCAAAATAGAATAAAATTGTGTTTTAAACTATTGTGGAACCTTCTGGGTTCCCAGCGTCCCCAGTTAAGTATTGAGATTTGTATTGAGCTTGATATTCCACAGTGATTTGCTTTTTTTTCTAACTTACACTGTATCTGCTGGATGTATTTCATGATCATTCAAGCTGTTTGAAGACAGAGATTTTCTCTGCAATGTTTTCCAATGAGTCATATGTTACAGAAGGAGATTAAAATGCGTACATATTTCACCTTGCATTTGGATCAGTGTTTGGCTATGCTCAAACACTTGACAAGCTGCATTTTACTTTTTCAGATAAATTACATCTTGAGATCTTCTGGATTGTAGAGAAACCCCCAAAAAACACAAATTCAGTGTAAAGCTTCTCTTACCTTTGTAGATAATTGTCAGAAATGACAAATGCAGGTTTCCAAAATAGTTTTTTCTTTCCGAAACTTAAAATTGAAAGTTTGATTATACTCATGGCAGGGTTATCAGTATTAACTGTATAACTGCTGTCCACAACTAGTCTGGATTTCCTGTTGGATGATGTCTACTTTGTCACAGATTAATAGAGCAGAATCTGAGTGGAGATGGAAAGACAACTCTGCTATACACCACCCTTTTCTCTTTTATTCAGCTTCCAAATAATTCTTGTATATCCTTCTACTTGCATGTTTTATTCTCATGCAGCTTTAAATGCAAAGATCCATTTCTTACTTATGTAGTGACCTCACATATTGTTTTCAGTTTTGATTTATTATACATTAGTTATTTTTTGTATTCTTTGGTAACATTTTGTGTTTTTTTTAAAAGGAACACTTAAACTGGAGATCTCTCCAGCTCCTGAAAACCTTGGTTACTGTCTGACACCAGAATTGCTACCAGTGAAACCCTTCCCAGAAAATCGTAGTCGTCCTCACAAAGAGATTTTGGAATTCCCAATTAGAGAAGTGTATGTTCCCCATACTATTTATAGGTAAGATTACTATTATTTTTTTTAATGCTTAAGAACCATTTTCAAAGGTGATTTAGCTTTTTTTTTTTTTTAAATAAAAGCTGAGAAAAATTGCTAAAGACTATGTTTTAGACTGATTTAATCTTGTCAGCTGTTAGAAGGTAAGATACCCTCCGGATGCTGTATTTAATTATGTAGTTATCCTGTTCCACACAGAATATTTTTAAAATGTTCACAACCTAGCAGCTCTTGTTAGCTTGACATAAATATATAAAATCATGTGGATACTGTGCCCATTTCCTTAGTGAAAGCATGAAAAAAAGCAGTAGTAGTTTTTATACAACTGAAAGTACAAATGTAAATGAAGTCAAATAACAAGATTTTTTTTTAATTTAATGGAAAAAAGTGGCCAGATTTTAACTATCCTTTCCATTATTAGGCCTCAGTAAGGTATAGCACTTGTCAACTCCAGGTGGCCTGGTAGTGTACAAAGATTTGCTTTTGAAAACAAAAAGCATTAGCAACCACTTTAAATTGCTAATCTAGAAAGGTGTTTGAGTCTCTCTTTAATTTTGACAAGAGTGAAGTCCTACAGTTAGACATCATGAATAACAAAGCTACCATGTTTAATCTTTGTATCTCCTGAAGCAAGTTAATGTGTCTCCACACTATCTTCCAGTTGCTAGGTGTCTGTGTTGAATAAATACACCTACATTAGAAGAAATGCATGCTGTATCTCAACAGCAACAATCTTTTTCCAAGAGTTCACACTGAACTCTTCACAGTTTTTGGCTCTCTTTTGAATTTCACTCTTAGTGAAAACTATGGAAACAAAAGAGGAACTGTCCTATTTAGCTAGTAATAATGAAGAGAAGATCGATATAGCATGTTTACCTTAATCTTCACCTTAATTAATGAATCAGTGATGATAACACAACTGACGTGACAAAAATAGTATTGTGTCGTGAACTGTAAAGTCTTTTTGTTAATAACCCATTCAACCCCAAAGACAGCCTTTTAGATACAGTGGGGAAATGATGAATAAGTGTGGAAGTGATTTTGTTTCAACATCATTGTCACTACAGCTATATCTGGCGCTAGAAAGGGGCGTCATCAACAGATAATGTTGATATCCAGCAGTAGATCCTCAGTAAGACAGATGAGTCAGCTTTGCAAACCTTCTGAGAGAACGACTTTGTGATTGCAGGAAGTAGCAACTGCGGTTGTGCAGCAGCACTGAAACCTCTTCCTACAAGCTAGAGTAACATAGCTCTTTCTGAGATGCTTTTGCCACCCAATAAACACAGTCATGCCAGAAAAAGTGTTGTTAGGGAATGTGGACCGATTATCAGCTTAATTTGATTGCTATCCAAGACTCTTTGCTTAGTTCTCTCCATGATGAATATTACTGTAAGCCTGAGATGAAGCTCCTTTCTGCAAAGTAGCTCTGAACTTGAACACAGCCAGATATAAAGTGATTTATGTTATTTTATTCCCTTTTGTCTAACCTGGGATATATGACCATCCTGTTTTCATAAAGCTATGTGCTGACTTTTAGGCAACTGTGGTAGTATGCCAATGTGCTGCTGTTTGTTTAATGTTTCCTAATTTTTGACTGTAAGTATACAACCAGTTCTATTTACCAGTGTTACGGATTTAGATACTAAAAGAATCTGAAATTAGTAAAGTCAATACTTTTTTTTTTTTTAATTAAAATGTTACTTTGAATGTAGGAGAGATTTACATATATAAATGTATTTGAATAACAAAACAATGAAAGCTTTTAAAGATACAGTCTGGTAAGATCTTGTTGGCATAATAATACCTCTGCACAGATCCAGACAAATACTAATGAAATATCTACTTTTAGTTTGTTGCCTGGATGTTTAAAAGAGATGCAAAAACGTAGTTTATTTTTCTTTCCTTCTTTCTTTGTTTCCTTCTTTCTCTCTTTTTCTCTCTTTTTCTCTCTTTTTCTCTCTTTTGTGCTTAATATTGCAATAGTCCTATTGCAATACCTAATGAATATGTGCTCATTTATCTCCTTTAACAATATAACAACTCAGGATTTAGTAATACTAGGACCGGTTAAGGAATTGAGACTATGACCTCACAGCGGGTTTACTTATGGCAGAAGGCTGCAGAAGTCATCAGAAGGGGGTCTAGTCCTCTTGAATTTAATACTGGAAAAGTTTTTAGGTTTTAACTTCTGAAAAAGATATTTGTGAAGTAGGCAGTTGTGGGTCAAAGGGTTTCCTGCGTTTATACAGCAGAAAACTATTATGATGGGTACTAGATTATTCTGTGGGTTCTTTTTATGATGCGTAACATCTCAGTTATTTGTCTGTGGTTTTGGTTTTCAAATACATTATGGTGTTGACTACTTTTTTGTAATATTTGATGTTTGAAGTAATGATGAGCCTCTTCAATTATGTATACAGATTGAACATGAGTTCTGGAGAGAATAGTGCTGAGATTTTAGTCTCAATTGACTCTGAGCTCTTGATAATGTTTAAATTAAGAAAGAACTAATTTTCTGTAATAACTTGATGTGATTTGAATCTTCAAGAATCTGATCTTATGAGCTGAGCTACCACTCAGTTTATCTGGGAAAATTTTTATGTTCTGACTAAAAGTTTAGTAGAATATTCGTTAAGGTTTTCATGTCAATGATAATCGACAGATTAAATAATCACTCTCACCTAAAATGTAATGTAGTCTGGCCACTATCTGTTTAATGCTTAATTTTAGCACATGAGAAAAATCATTCAAACTTATCCAAACTAGAAGAAAATTTTACTAAGTTTTAGAATATATGATATAGATAAAACAAAAATGAAAATAACATTGAAATTCTCTCGTCATGCCATTTATTCTAGTCAGTGCATGGAAAAATCAGCAACTTTGATAAAGTATTTGTGATTTACCATTTTTTTGAAGATTGCTCTCTCAAAAGAGTAGAAACAAAGGAATCATCAAAAATTGAAAGTAATGACTAATAGGTGTATCAGTTTTTGTTTCCATTTTCTTAAGCAGTATATGTATGCTCATAAACAATTTATAGCTTTTATCAGTAATGACTGATTGCTCCTATTTTGGCTTTTGTTATTCATGGTATTCTTATTGCAGTCATCAGTGGACACATCTAATATTGTTTAGAAATTTGAGATGCGCTTGTGAAACTTTGTATATTGTGTAATTTAGCAAGGAGAAGGATTTCACTACATTACACACATATTACACAGCCAATAATTACAGACAGCAATGTTCAGTCAGAAAGATCACAGTCCTGAAGACTGTGCACAGATTTTGTTTTGGCAGAATATTGGTCTCCATTGCTTTGGCCATGGGAGATGATCAAATCATCACTGCTAAGTCTCTATTAAAGAGTAGAAAAATCAGTACATTAAAATGAGAATTGTTTCATGGTGTCCTGTGCAGAGCCTTGGTTTTCTTGTGCTGAAATAGCCTTTGACCTCACAGTCCTTGTGCTGGGTCAGCCTCAGATCCAGATAAGCAGACTGAATTAGTGCTTCCTCCAGACCCCTATTACAGTGTGGAACTGTCATGTTGGATTGATGTTGGATGTTGTGTCGTGGCCTTTGTAGACCCATACTGACTCCTGAATGGCTCTTTTGCTTCTTGTGAACACATCTGTCTGCATCTGGAGGTGCTTTCTGTAGGGGGAGTGAGTGGAGAAGTACAGTCACACCAGCATTAATCACAGACAGCAGCTGCTGTGGCATGTTGCTTGAAGACTTCCTCTCAGCACTGAGCCTGAAGAGGAACATGTGGCCTCCTGGGGCTCACCACATCCTGAGGGCAGTGCTAACTGCTGCATGGAAATGTTCAGGCTCTCAGGCTGTTGGAGGGAACTGTTGCTGGCAGGAAGAAACACTCTAGTCACCAAAAGATCTGTGTATGCCTAGTCCCTAGTGCAGTGTGAAGGAACTCTTTTGATCATCTCCCCAGCTTACTGCTTTTCATCATTTTCATCGCTGCCTGATACTCAGAGTCAGGGTTTACTTCTGTTCTTCCTCAGCATTGATGGGTTTAATACGCATGTAAGCAAGGTCCCTAAAACTGCTTGAGCATAAATGGCACAAGCTTTACCTCTTCTGCACAGTGCTCACTGAAATAATGCTTCTTTGGTTGTGTAGTCAGCAAAGAGCTCTCTGTGATTTTGCATATCTTTCATTTCAAGTCACATGTAAATGTAAAAATCGGTGCTCAGGGACATTATAGGGATTTGTGACATCTTCTGCTGGGCTGCAGATTAATGAAGCAATGGCTGGATTATGCAGCGTCCCCTATAAGTATTTCTTCATCTCTGACAGATGTAATATTGATAATATCCTTCATTTAATATGTCATTCCCCCTAACATAATTCAGTGGAGGTTACCAATATATTTCTCACTTTCACTTAGTTTTTCCTAATATTATCTTGGAGAGAACTTGGCAGAGCTGAAAGTGCATTTAAGAAGGTTAGGGAAGAAAGTGCATTAGTGTTGCAGGCAGGAGTACTGTGCTGAACAAAAGGAAAGGCAAGTTACATACTGATCTGTTTGCTAAGACATGCCATGCCTCACATAGCATGTGCTGGTTGGTAGAGTGGCTTGTACTGTGTAACTGAAGAGCACTGTCACTTTTTGACTCATGGCAGTAATGAATACCAAGCAGTTTTCTGTGTCTTGCAATGCAATAAAAGGAAGACAGCCCATCTGATTTAATGACAGTGTTCTCCAAAACTGCTCCACAATGGTGCTGATGACGTGCTGTGATAAGGATAGGTTAATTCTGTGTGTAGTTTCTGACAAAAAGCGAAGATGAAAGTCTGTGAATACCTGTTATTGTTTCTCATTGGAAACCAACATGGTTTCACCAGCATTCATCTTATTTCTTACGCAATGAAGACAAAGAATGAGAATCTTATACCAGAGCAGTATAACAAGAGACACGCTAAATAGACATAATCATAATTCCAAAATGTGTACAAGTTGGATCTAGCTGAAATCTCAGACCTGCCACAGTCTTCAGTGTAGAAAAAGCTTTGTATTTACATTTGCATTATTATGTCAGAATGAGTCTTGAACTCAGAAGACCATCTGTGCTCCACAAAAATTAAAAGTTGTTTTTTAGTTTAGTGATTTACCTATGTATAGAAGCTACTAAATAGCTAGTAAATGGCAAAGTATATTTTAAAGAATTACTGAAAAAATATGTTCAAAGACTCATTTCTACTTGGCTTCTAGAGCTACAGGTTAAAATTCCTTTTTTACATTTAATCATCAACACTGCTTTTCAATTTATAATCTAGAAATGCAAGCTATAACCTAGGATTATATGTTGGTGGGTTCATTTCCTGGTTTGCTTGTTTTTGTCTGAGTGATTCAATAGTGCTTTCAAAACCTGACTCTTTGTAGCTGAGAAAGGAGCTGCTTTCTTGAGAGGCTTCTGCTTTTCATTACATCAAGCAAATATATTATTTCATTTTACATCTGTCTGAAAAAGTGAGAGCTAGAAAGACTGCCCTCTCATATGCATTTACCATATGAGAAACCCTCAACGCAGGATGTTTTATGTCACAACAAGAACTTACATTTCCCTTGAAGTCTTAGGTAAAAGAGATTTGCCAAAGCTTCAACTATCTGGATGATACTGAAGAGCAGGGACAGAAATTAGCAAAACGCTAAGCTGTGCACTTCATTCTGAAAGGCTTGTTACTTAGCTGCTTTTTCCTATTTCTCTTTCTTCTAGAAATCTCCTCTATGTTTACCCCCAAAGGCTGAATTTTGCTAACCGACCAGCTTCTGCAAGAAACATTACCATCAAGATCCAGTTTATGTGTGGTGAAGACCCGTCTTGTGCAATGCCGGTAATAAATGCTGAGCACTTGTAGGAAACTGTTGCTCAGGTGCTATCCTGAGGAACCTCTTGAAGAGACAACTTTCTATTTACTCCACACTGCCGCAGTTTCTAGGGGGATCTTAAGAGGACTGACATCAGAAAGCTTATGAAAGCCTGCAGACATCAGCCCTATAGTTCTAGCCCTATAGGCATCAGCTTCAGCTTGCATTTTTGGGGAAATTTTCAGAGTATGTCAGTGGATTTTTGAGAATGAGATTGAGATAGCACCTTTTGTGATTTTAGTTGTGTTAAAAATAATAATGAGTTGAAATGCTACTTTGAAGAACTTTACCCCAGGAATTTGTTGGCTTGAGGACTGACACCTGGCTAACCTTTTTGAATGTGCTGACGCTGCACAGTGCGCACTTTACAGTGGCATGTTCCTTACCCAAATGTACTCTGGAACTGAAATCAGAGCATCAGTTCAGTGTTTTCCTTGGTCATATTTTCTTCCAGAGCTGACACTGTGTCATGTGAATATAACACTTATGTTTTATATAATGCTATGCAGCTGTTTAGTTGTTTTTTTTTTTTACATTCTGCTCATATCACTGTTAGGTTTTGATTAATGCTTGGGATAAAGGCAGTTTATCTGGCATCACTGTGCCCTTTAAGTATGGGTTTCACCTCAGTACATACCGGTTTCTGCTGTGCAGATTCCCTTATCTCAGTTCATCTCTCTGAGACCCTTTAAAGTTACAGCATTCCAGCACCCTTTCATGGAGGCTAGAGTGAATCAAATACCACTGAATGTAAAGGATCTGTAAGGTAAGGTGAGGTGAATCTCACCCTATGTAAACAGGATAGAAGTGAAAAATAAACTTCTCAAAAAAAAAAATTAATTCATCACTTACAATGTAATTAAAAGCAATATGATAATCCACAGGAGGCTTATCACAGCTGCATTTCTGAAGTTTCTAACTTTTGCGTTACTGGAGAATGCAATGTAAGATGCCTCTGATCCATCTTCCTGATGTTTTGTGTTGCATGTTGCGTGAGGAAGATGCCAGCTAATGACACTTCTGTGTCATCATACTAAGATCAAATTGAAGGATCATTATCCCACCTTTATATGCTGTCTTAAAGTGACACAGAATGATAACAATTAAATGTTTTAGATCTGACTGTATTCACTTTCATTTATTAATGCAGGTAATTTTTGGAAAATCTTCAGGTCCAGAATTTGTGCAAGAGATATATACAGCTATCACATATCATAACAAGTAAGCATTGTTGTTATTCCTATTTGTGCAAGAGATATATACAGCTATCACATATCATAACAAGTAAGCATTGTTGTTATTCCTATAACTTGAGATGTATTAAGCATGACCTTTTTATATAATTCTCAGCTAATATTAGTTACTCAAAGAATGGTGGTGATAAGCTATTTTAAACTTCTACATTTTATGAGTACTTGTCAATACCTACTTTGGATTACTACATGCATTTGCATAAGTGACTGTTGCTTTTCTTGTTTTGAGCTCTTTAAAGACTAATCAGGAGTATTCCCTGTCTGAAGATGAAGGAACAGAAGCAGGAAGTAGCAGCTTTGTAAAAGCATTCACCTTGATTTATTCACAGATCGAAAATAACTGAAGGGGTTCTCTCCTATGAATGCAAACTCAAGATGTAGGTTTTATACAGTAACTATGCTGAAACCACAAATTAAAATTGAATGGTTTTAAAAGTAAGGAGGTGGATGATACTGAAATATTCTGGCTTACACACTTTGCATCAAACTGTTCCTGATTCAAAACTGTAGATAGATCATAACAGTGTCCACAGAGATACATACTTCACTTGCATGACTTATCTCAAGGCTGTTTTTAGGATCTATACAGTTCTTATTACCATAGCATCTGGGAGCCTGCTGACAAATATGCCTTCTGCTCTGAAATATGCATGGCATTTTTTTAAACAGGTCTCCTGACTTTTATGAAGAAGTGAAAATAAAACTGCCAGCAAAACTCACGGAGAAACACCATCTATTGTTCACTTTCTATCATATCAGCTGCCAGCCAAAGCAAGGAGCATCTGTGGAAACTCTCATTGGATATTCAGTAAGTGATATAAATGTGTGTATGCATGGGGCAGGGGTGGGAGAAGAGAGGCTAGATGTGTGGGTATGTATCCCATGCAGATAGACTCTTTGCTTATCAAGGATTTTGCCATGCATTCCATTTCTGGTAATGGTAATACATCATAACAAGTAGAAGGCTGTTCTGCAGATACTGCAGGGCGTGCTCATGCATCCGTTAAATGTACAGACATAATAAATTTATATGCAGCTTGTGCTGTTATATCTTAATTATAACTTTACATTGGTAAGCATTTTTGAAGTTGGTGAATTTACCCAAAGCACAGAAATTAAGTATACACCTACATATTTGCAACAGCAATGCCCTATTGTAGAGCTCTTAATTGTTAGATTCTATTTGCGGAAAAGAAAAAAGGCAATTAACTGTTATTTACTGTTATCTAACATGTTCACACATGAGGTGACATCTAATATAATATTTTGAATAAGTTTTATAAGGTATATTGCTTACATAAAAACTGTCATTTACCCTTGTTAAAATCAAAAGCCATGAAAATATTTAGATACTAGAATTCAATTATCTTAAATTCAGTTATCTTCATATCTTCATTGAAACTAGCATGTTTTAGCTTGAGAAACACATATTGTAGCACAGTGTCATTTTTCTTTAACTATTTTTAACTGGAGAGATTTTAGAATAAGAAGAAAGAAGAGATAATAATAATACTTCAGATGTGAAAAAGTTCTAGTGCTATTGAACCATGGAGCCATACAAATACTATCTGTGTGTTCATGCTATGAGGTTTGTGCTCTTGAGTCCAGTACTGTTAGTTCTCTCAAGCAGGCTTTCTTTTGTGGATAGATGCCACAAATGCTTACTTACTTAAACATGATGTGTTTCTGTCCTGTGCTACTCCACAGCCTCTTTCAGATTTAAACAGGAGTAAAGTATGTCCAGATGTCATTGCAGAGTTCTGATAGGTCATGGCCTTAATCCTCAGGGTAACAGTACCAAAATGTTCAATTTGTCCATAGCAAAACTTGAACTCTTCAAGTTCAAAACTTGAGCTTGATTTACTTCACAAAACTATAGAATGACTTGGGTTGGAAGGAATCTTAAAGATCACCCAGTTCCAGCCTCCTACTATGGGTTGCTAGCCCCAGATCAGGCTTCTCATGGCTCCATCCAGCCTGGCCTTGAACACCTCTAAAGGTGGGATTAAAAAAAAAAAAAGCCAAATATCAATCTATTCAGGATAAGTTATTTTTCAAATAAAAGCATGTGACCTATTAAATCCTTCTGATAGGATTTATTAGAAAAACATATGTCACACATGAAAAGCTCTCTGTTTTCAGATGAGTTTGTTTGTAAAGCAGTCTTGTACATTTTTCTACAGTAGCTATCAGTGAATTTAAAATGCAAAGAAATTACTGTTTAATGGATTGGAGCAGAGAAACTCAGGTCAATATCTCATTTCTTGTTCTGTTGACTATACATAACAGATTAGATAAATAGCTCTAATCATATATAGTCATGAATATTGCTGCATTTTCTCTTCATTTGTTTCAGTGGCTGCCAATTCTGTTAAATGATCGTCTTCAAACAGGACATTATTGTCTTCCTGTTGCATTGGATAAGCTGCCATTCCACTATTCAATTCACTCTCCTGAGGTAACAAAGAAAATTATGAAAAGACAATGTTTTTGCAGTGTAGAACATCATCAATAAGTATTTTACAATCCAACATAGCTGTCTCTTTTTGAACAGTTGCCCCTTTCTGTACTTTAAAAGAGTAAAGCCCTAGAGAAAAATGTTATTATTTTAATTGGTTTTATTATGCATTGTTAAATTGTGTTTTTTAAAGTTATTAATTCAAAAATCCTTGTGAATTTCTAACCAGTGATACATTTGTTTAGAGTTTGTCAGGTTCATAATTTGCTTTCTTTCACAAGATGATTTGCTCGATTTTGTGGGAGAGGGAGGATACATGGATTCAGGTGCTGCTACTAGAGCAGGAAGCTGCCTTCTGAGCTAATATGGCGAGTAGAAAACTGCCTCTGTCTTTAAAACTGTACCATGTCACCAAGGAGTGCCTTTGGCATGCATTGGCTGTAAACTTCTAACCACAGAAGATGCAAATTCAGACTGTCTGTTCTAGGCATCCAGCTGCAGTGTTGCAAATTTCCCCCTTTAACGAATGAAATTCTCTTCATCTGGCCTATGAGAATAAAGACACCTAGCTATGGTCTTCTGTGCTGCACTGAATTAGATGCCTAAAGTAAAGTGAATAGCATTAAGGTCTTAGAGACCCATGTAAACAGGCTTTCTATTAGATCATTAAAAGACAGTGATTCCTTTAATTCTTTTCTATCACAGAAAGTCCCATCACAGACACCACCTATCAAATGGGTTGAAGGACACAAAGGTGTTTTCAATATTGAAGTGCAAGCTGTTTCATCTGTTCATACCCAGGTAATGCATCAAAAGAAACATGCAACTGTAGTTTCATTTCAAAGGGGATTCATATGTCCATTCTGATCAAGGATCAACTGGAGATGTTTAAGTTCACACAGGTTTGAAAGCAAATGAAAAGTTCCTGCTATCTTACAGCTGTGGAAAGAACTTGATTATTTTCAGTGAATGAAATCCACTGATATGAGTGCACAAATAAGCACTCTGAGCAGCAAGTCAAATCAAACAATAAGGAGCCTGGTTTCCTCTCAGCTCAACAGAGATCTGATGTGAAGAATACTGGTACGGCGTAGTGCCAGTTTCTGCAGTGTGCATGTTCTATTCTCTGGGGCTAGTTCAAACAAAGTGTCCAACAGTTGAAGGAAAGCACAGCATCTCCGCTCCCTCCAGGGCCAGCTAGGCTGCCAAAATACTTCACACAGATGGCAGCTCAGCCATCCATGTGTAGGGATGCTAACTTAATGCTGAATGGGAACTTTGAGTTCTAAGATTCTGATCACTTAAATGTGGTAGAAAATTGAAGGCTTTCCATTTTCACTGGGGTCTGAAGCACCACAGCTTTATCTCGTTTCGTATTTCACAGTGTCTCCTACATCATCTTGTTCTGGTTAACTCTGATAGCATACTTTTTACATACATATAGGACATATTTATAAGGCACATAACTTGAATGTAGCTGGCAGTGAGATTCTTAGATGCAGGTAGCAGAGGGACTATAGAATCACAGAATTGTTCAGGTTGGAAAAGACCTGTATACTTAATAAGTATAATAATTAAAAGACTATAGACCTCTGATGTGAGATCTAGACCTCAGAGTTTTATCAGAAAGAATGAACAGTATAATTTACTGCAGACTTTACCTTTTCTGCTTTTAATCTGGTTTAACCACCTCTGAATCTGAGCCAGCTGAAAAGGAACAAACAGAACATTGTGGCAACTGACTTAGAAATTGGTCTCTAGAGCTATCTGCCACTGTAAGCCAAGAGCGTATAAGTATTTTCTCCACCCGTCAGATAGGAATCAAGCTTTGCTTAGCAAGTAGCAGGCTGAATTATATCAGCTTTGTTAACTGTGAGCGCACCATCTTTGTAGGACAATCACTTGGAGAAGTTCTTCACTCTTTGCCATTCTCTGGAAAGTCAAGTGACCTTCCCCATTCGACTGATGGACCAGAAGATCACTGAGGCTACACTGGAACATGAACTGAAACTCAGCATTATCTGTTTGAATTCTTCACGACTGGAACCTCTTGTTTTATTTTTACATCTGGTACTAGATAAACTTTTCCAGCTAGCTGTACAGCCTATGGTCATAGCTGGCCAGACAGGTATTTAATGATCCTTTACTTATTTTCCTTGGTACCACAAGCAAACTAGAGATGTGTTTGCCAGATATCCAGGGTCACATTTACTCTTTTGGTAGTTCAGAAGTAGCTGGGCTTCTCTGGACAGTTTCATTGCACAGTTTAATCAGATTTGATGAAATTGTTTGTGCTTCTCTTCTCTACACAAATAAAGCTTTGAGACTCCATTTCAGAAGAACTTTAAATCTTAATAGTTACTTATCTGGAGATACAAATCAGAAGCAGGATGGTCGTTTAACTGCTTTGTGAGGAAACCAGCCGCTAAATAACTGTTCAACAGCTGATAATGATGATTGCATTACATCTTCCCAAATATCTTTAGCCAAAACTGGGTGGACACATAAACAGGATGTAGTCATGCACACTGATGTTTTTCTGTTACTGAAGCTGTCAGCTGCCCATTACCTATATTAAACGTGGAAGAAAGGCATACTTGAAGACAGTGGTGCAGCTGATTTCCTAATTAATTTTGGTAGCCAATTTTTGTTGTCCACTAAAGTATTAGAAGAAGAGGCTGGTAGCTTGTATGTTTCTGTCAGCTGGAGAAGAATCAATATATTGCCCTTTAAACAGATATTTTTTAGGAAGTACCTGAAGGCTGCTAGAAATTGTCATGAACAGTAAGGGTCTGCTTTTACATAGCACCGCGTGGTGAAATAGTAGTGATTGGGTTGAAAGTGAGTCTGCTGACAATAGGTTTTTGGTTTATATAGACTTAGTGTCTGGCCCAGTGTAACTGTTTTTTTCTGCAGCTATTAATCTGTTAAGGAGTGATTTAAAGCATGTACAAATTAGTTATTGTTAAAAGGAATGCCATGATCTAATTATGTTATTTCCTTCAGGGCTGAGACTAATTTTTGCTTTTTGTTTCACAGCTAACTTCTCACAGTTTGCCTTTGAATCTGTGGTTGCAATAGTGAACAGTCTCCACAACAGCAAAGACCTGAGCAAAGATCAGCATGGGAGGAACTGCCTCCTGGCATCGTATGTCTACTATGTATTTCGCCTGCCAGACCCCCAAAAAGAAGTGCCAAAACTAGGTAATATCATTGTAGTAATTGCAAAAAAAATCTTCTCTCTTTATACACATTATTCATCATGGTGCTTATAAGACAGAGACAACTGGCTTTCAAAAGAGCAAATCAGAATTTCTTGTACCCAGACTGCGTAGTTTCCAAACAGAGCACTGCTTCAGCATGTGAATCTTGTCTTGATCTACAGCAGATTGAAAAGAGTTGATAGAGGAAAGAAAGAGCTACTGTGCAGTGCTACTGCTAAGAAAGCCCTCAGTCTTTCACTACTGCATGCATTGTCAGTTGGCATGCTGCAGAATCCCAAAACATCTGTACCTTGTTATTCAATGCCCGTGTAATTTAACAGAGCAGTTGTTGATGAGATTTTTGTAAGCTCTGTGCTTTTCACGCTGCTGATGCTGTGCAGCACTGAGCAGAGCTGGCTTGAATCTCGTGTTTGTCTCATATTACTATGTCCTTCAGTCTTCGTTCAAACATCTCCCTGTGGGCAGGTGCAGGGGGCAGTGCTGCTCTGACGGAGTCTCGTTATTACACATTTGGACGCACTTCTGCAGTGTCTGTCGGGAGTAAATTACTGCAGAGCCGAGTGATAAGCTGCAGCAATCCTGACATCACTGTTACACAGTCAGCTGCTGATGAAGAGGTCAAAAACATCATGTCATCCAAGGTAAGAGGGGAAGTCAAGTATCTGAGAAGCGTATGAGCCAAAACCAAATCTATGAATCCAGGTTTTTCTCTTTGAAGGCTGGACTTGCTTCTTGTGAATACACTGTATGTATCACCAGAAACATTCACTGTTTGTCTAATTTGGCATGTATGTGTTACATTCACTCTGCTAAATTCTGATGTATTTTTCAGTGAAGAAAATAAGAGGTAACATCTCTGAGTTTGAAGTTAGGCATTCCACAGAAGGATTTCCTTATTCAAGGTGCCCCACTCTCCCATTCATCCTGAGATTTAGGTTCTTTTCACATTATTTCTTAGACCATTCAGGGGGAGCTGATCTAGGTATCGCGTAATCAGTGTCAGAAAAGACTGCCACTGCCTACAGTGGGAACAGGCTTGCTTTCTAAAAGGGATGAAGAACCCTTGGAAAGGAAATAGATTTTCTAAAATACATTGATAATTTATTCTGGTTCTTTCTCATTCTTCTGTTATTTGATATTGTCTACAGTACCCTCTGTACCATCTTCAGATGCCCTCTGAAGATTCTGTATAAAGTCTTTCCAGATAATAAATTCAGCCACAGAGTGAAACACAAACTTCCTCTTTGTTATCCAGAACCACATTTGTCACCAACAAATTGCAGGATAGGACAGGAGGAACTGAGAAACAGAATTGTTTCCTGCTGGGGCATCAGGTACTTGCTGGTCTGCAGTACCCCGAGTTCTTCTCAGAGCTTTTTGAGGATGGCTGTTTTCAACTCACTGAGGAAAACAAAACCTTAGCAGGAGCAAAATCAGCAGGAGCTCAGAAGCCCTGCCTCTCACAGTTGCAGGATTTTACCCCTGTGCAAGAAGGCTGCTCTGAGCTGCAACCCAGACAGATCTCTGCAGCATTCTCAGAACCATGTGTTCCTTCCTTTTTCTGTGAGTGCTATGTACATGGAATACTGCTTCTCAAGCAAGTTATTTTCAGAAACATTTTGAGATTATTTTTTTCCCCATTGAATAATCAGATGGTTTAATTTCTTAAATTAAACCAGAATTAGTCAGGTGCACAGAATTTGTTAGTCTATTTGATTTCTTTGTATACATATTCACCCATAACAATTTTTAATAATGTAGATTTGAACTTAGTATCTTTATGAATTTCTGATGTAATGTGTCCCAAAAAAAAGAAAAAAAAAAAAAGAAAAAGAGAAAAGAAAATATCTCAGGATGGGTTTTTGTTTTTTTTTTTTCCCTTTTCAAATTAATACATAATTAGACCATTTGATTACAGCTTTATCACACTGATAAATTAGAAATTTATAATGCTTAGGTAACTATTGACATTTCACTGCCTTTTAATTGGTATCACTTTTAATGAAAGGAATAATTGCAGATATTAGTTAATTTAGGACATAGAACTACCTAATAAACCCTAATGACTGCTACCTTGAGAGAGTGAGTTTTAGTTCACAAAACACAGCTGTGGTGCTAAAATTGGGCACACGAGGGCAGCGTTGATATTTGTGGTCTCCTGCATCTGCCGAATTCAGGTGGTCTTTGGCGTCCTCTAAGGAATGGAATCCGAGGGCGGAGGAGGGGAGAGAAAGACACACAAAAATGTTTGGGTAATGTATAATCAATGAATGCACAGATGTAATAATTATGGAATATGCTAGAGAGTTTAGCTAAGCAGGTTATTATATAAAAGAGAATAGATAGAATGCTTACCCATGGCCTGTGCTTGCTGTAAAACTCCAAAGAAGGGACCTCCAGAAAGACATCCTTCCCCCCTGATAGTCAGCTCTTAAATAGGTCTAGGAGAGGTGCAGCCTCTGGTGAATTGTCTTCACCTGTGCTCCCAGGGCTGACTTCTTGCCTCAGGTGATCAATCAGAGGTTCAGGCCATGATTCAACAGTTCCCATACAGGTGAACATCTGTATTTACCTTCCAAGAAAACACTGATTTGATTTTTAATCTGTTAATTAGCTTAGGCTATGCATTAATGTGTGTGTGTGTGTATTTCTTCTGGCCATTCTCCAGCCTGCAGATCACAGCTCCAGTCGGATGTCGTTTTACATTGAAGGAACAAATGACACGCCAGGTGTATGTGCAAGCCCAAGACCATCCAGTAAAAAGGTAGCCTACTACTGAGTGTGAGAGTGACAGATTAACAGAACCTGGAGCCTCCACAAGCAGTGCTTGTAATTAGCATGAAATGAGGAGAGGGAGAACAAAATAACAACCAGTTTTATTGAACAGGGAGTTTGTGATGGAAAGTTAAATCTATGGGTAAATATTGCCCAAGCATTTCTGACTCTGTTCTAGAATCTTTAGATTCTTTTTCTGGGACAGATTTAGACAAGTAGCAGCTTGCCTGTATCCTCCCTTTGCTCTCTTTCTCAGGGTACTAAGACCTCTATGTTTTTTCACTGCTGTTTCCCTCTGGATACCTGCCTTTACATGTTGCAGTAAATTGCATTCAGATATATTTGCCATTTCTTTCTTCTGTAAGGAATATTTTACTTTTCCCTTTTTTGTAGCATGTAGAATCAATTAATTCTGCCTTATTCTGAGTCTGTATTCCCAAATAGCTTTTAACAACATAAAACGTATCATTGCAGATAGCTAACTCCTCCAGAGCTGTATCTTGTGCTTGGTATTGAGGAAGCTTTGGATGAAGAGAAAATCTACAGTGGGCAGTCTAGAATCTATGTTCCTGTTAAGAGGCACTTCTTTTTTATTTCTGTTTATTGATTTGAATTAGGCCAAAAAAACATGAGGGTTTATACCCAATCTAAATCTTGGCTAGATTTATGTGTCCTGTTGAATGTGAATAGGCTTAGAGATTTCACTGGCTATACTGTTTGTATCAGGAACAGAGAACAGATATTACAATACATGGTTAGTCCAGACTTGAGTTTTCTCAAAGTTTAGGTCATTGGGACTAGGAGTCTTGTGGTGCACATCACTGCAAAGAGTATGGTCTCTAACTACACACCTCTGTGCAAACTCCGCTGTAATTGTTGTTGTGGCCTGCTATCCCACCACAGAAATAATCTTGTATGTTCTCTCAAAAACACAAACGTGCTAAGCAGAAGCTCTCAGAAGGAGCATGTGACTGTTCACTGTCAGGCACACAGCCTGTACTCTGAGGATAGACAAAAGGCGTTTTCCAGCTGAAGTGTCCAGGGTTCTGGATCCACAGCAGAATGGCCCATAGTGCTATTCCTTATGTGTCATTTTTGTCAGATGCCCAGGTGTTTCTGTTTAGCTGTTCACTCTTCATTATGGGGGCTGTCCAAGGTGCAAGTGCTAGGAATTGGTTGAAAGTGAAAGACGAGTTGGGTGAAAGACCATTTCTGAACACTCTGTGTTTATTATCTAGCATTTCCATGAGGAGTTGGCACTGCAGATGGTGGTCAGCACGGGTATGGTGAGAGAGGCTGTCTTCAAATATGCCTGGTTCTTCTTTGAACTCCTGGTAAGATTTATCACTGCTGTTTTGTAGCAAGTTGATGGTGAAATGCAGGCACAGATTTAGCTGGACTATAATGTCTTCAGCTAACTAACCCCACTGTGATAGGTTCCAGATAATGGAAGCACAAGTGAAGAATTCTCTATATTCACCCCCAGTCCTTACTGAGAGCCTGTGACAGTTATAATCCACCAAACTATCTGCACAGTTGTCCACAGCTTGTAGAAGTCTGGGTGACAGATATCAAAGTGAGCCCTTCCCTCCTTTTCTGCTCCTATTTCTTCCCCTTTGTTAATAACATATATGCAGTAGCAAGGCTACCCAAGGTCAGTGTCACAGAGCCCTGAGGTGACTGATGTCACTGCAAGTTTTGTTGACATACTGGTTTCCACTGGAAGCAGATATGCAACACAAGAGATCAAGGAGTAGGAATTAATTCCAGAAATGTCCTCCCCTGACTGTCATCACAAAGAACAGAAGCTACAAGCAGCAGGGACAGGGTGAGAGTGATCTGAGCCACAGTATGAACATGAACAGGACTATCTGCGTTAAAGCCCTAGGCTCTCTGGTTCCTTGCCAATAAAGATAGGATTTATAAAGATGAGAGGATTGAGAAAGATGAGAGTGACTGTGTTGAGGGAAAAACAGGTGGGAACTCTTATTCCATGGACTAACATAGAGAACAGTTTTATCTCCACTTTGTTATATTTTTCTCTTTTTTCTTTATTGCTTTGCAGATAAAGAGTATGGCTCAGTACGTTCACAGTATAGACAAGCAAGACAATGTACGAAGAAGCCGGTTCTCTGACCGTTTCAAAGATGATATTACCACTATAGTTAACGTGGTTACTTCTGAGATTGCTGCACTTTTAGTCAAACCCCAGAAGGTAAAAGCATGAAAAAATGCACTGTAGATTCTTGCTGTTCACACCACATCACACTGAGCTTTATTTAATTGCATTGTACTTTCAGGATCATCACTGGAATTAGACTAAAACTGAGGCTGTGGTGTTGCAGAGATCATGAGTGAGAGCTGTGACTGCAAGGCACAGTCCTGTGCCCTCTTAGCAGAGAGTTTGTTTTTATTCAGAGGGAGGCATGTGTTGGAGGGAATTCCCTTTCTCTGAGATAGGAAAGACTGAACTCTGTCTTTCAGTAGTTGTGCTGCCTTATGCCAGGTTGGCTAGGGCATCAAGCTACATCCATGTGTAGCATATTCCTTTAATCTCCTTTTCCTATTGCACTCATTCCTACTGCACAGCATTTTTCCCACATTTGATTTCCCTGACTGCAATATGAAAGCAGTGTTCTTCCTGCAAAACCCAACCATGAGATATTTAACCCCAGATCTCTCTAAAGACACACTGGCCACATGAAACTCAGAAACAAGAGATAAACCTAAACCACATGTAATTCTTTCTCCTGGTATATTTTAACAAGTTCCACTGGCACAATTGATTATAAAGCTGAAAATATTATGAAATGTAATTTGTATTTCAACATCAATTCAGTTAACTGATGTCACTTTTGCTATTCCCCAGAACATAAAATAAAGGCAGCTTGTGTGCCAGGGCTGCCAGAAGCACTGTACGTGCAGGACAATGTGTTCTGTCATGAGGTAGCTGGTACTTGCCCAATCACTGCTCAGCCAGCGTGGGTCTTAGTCCAATTCTCCACCTGTGGCTAGCTGTTGCGTTAGGGAACTGAAACTGGTGAAGAGCCACAACCAGACAACTGAGGACAAGAAATGGCAGAAATCACCATTACTGTCAACCAAAAAGTTGTTTCTGAAGCTTCATCCTTTTCTTCATCCTTTGATGAAGAAAAGATGCTTCTGTGATACCCACATGCACAGAAAACATTTCCATAGAAATCTTCACATCAGTGAATATATTGTGTGATAAAAATATGCTACATTAAAATGTTTTAACAGATCTGCTAAGAGATTAATATTTTATGCTTTCTTCATGAGAAATGCACAGGTTTTTATGGGCTGTTAATTCAATTCAATTTTGATGGATTGAGTTGGTAGAGTCTAACTGTGTGTGAAAATTCTGCTGCAGTGTTTTCAGAATTAAGCTAATTGACTAGCTGTACAGAACAGCAATATGTGACACCTGTCTACGTTTTAAATCCACAAAGTAATATTCTGTATGTTTCAGTACATGGTTGAGCATGTTAGATTGTCCTGAGGTTCTGCAGCTACTGGCTTACTGTAGGCTGCCCTGTAAGCTATTGGAAAGCTGGTTGGGTTTTTTTTTTTCAGCACAGTAGAAAATTACTTTGCTATCTAAATTCTAGATCATAGATTCTATATGAATTCTATATTCTGTATGTGTATAAATATATTCTTGAATGGCAATAGCAACAAAAAGATTGAAAAATGAAAAATTAAGTCATAAATACCCTGAGGTGCTGCACACCTGCTCTCACTTGCCAGAGACACCAATAGCATTTTTATCAATCATCTCTCTTGTCAGTCTTGAGCAAACTCACCTGGGAGCTCTGAGAGGTGTGCAGACCCCTCAGGCACCTCCACAAATTCTTCTTGGTCAAGTAGATAATATTGTCAACCTATTATAATTTGATTTGGTATGTCTGAAATAGCCTTATTTTAGGGGATACTTGGAGTTCGTTGTGTGTCTCTAGTAATCAGACCATTTGTAAATACAAAGGAATTTAGTTGCTAGATGGTAAAACCCACAGATTTGTTGTACTGATATTTTTTCCTATCAGTTTTAGACATGAAATTTGTAAATGAAACACTTGGCATTCCATCAACAGAGCTAGGGCAGATTTTTTACTAATATCTGAAAACAGTATTTTATGTTGAACGCCTAAATAATTTTCAGTAGTGTTAGAAATTCAATTAAAAAACAAATGGAGGGCAGGGAAGAGGCGCATATAAAAGTGTGGAGCCCATAGGAAGTTCAGGAAAGCTCTCAAATTTGATTTCAGTTGTTATCTGCACAAAGATTTGCAAAGATAAGCTTGGTCGCTCTCCTGTTCCATTTCTTCTCCAAAAGCAGTAACTGTTGGAATAATACACATAATTTTAACAAGGTCATGTTAATTAGAGAAGTTAAACAGTCTTCTCTCTGTTCCGCAACATTTCTGGAGACTGGAGTCCCCTACACTATTTTTTTATTCTAAGTGATACTAAGAAGTTCTCCACCTTTACATGAGTTTTATAAATTGTAAGTGCAGTTTTACCCCCCTCCCAATGTTTTATTTATTTGTTTGTTTGTTTGTTTGTTTTAAGGAAAATGAACAAGCAGAAAAAATTAACATCAGCCTGGCCTTTTTCCTGTATGATCTTCTTTCTTTAATGGACCGAGGATTTGTGTTTAATCTCATCAAACATTACTGTAATCAGGTAGGCATTGTGCATGATTGAGATTGTATTGGGCTTATGGCCAGTCGTGTATTCTGTTCTCTTCGATTCATTTATCCATCAAGATCCTCTGAGTTGTGTTAAAGGGTAAGGTAAATATCCTATTTCCTTCTGCATCTACAGAGACTTTACACCTCTTTTGATCTGTGGTCTGCAGAAAATAATTTGAGTGGAGGTTAGGGTTCTTTTAGAAATGCCATACCTTACAGTGCACTGCAGAGCATCTGTAGAGCCACTTTTCTTGCCTTTCTTTTTTATGTCTCTTAGCCTCAGCTTTTGGATTCCCAAAGTCTGCACATCACAGATTAAAGAGTTTTTGCACTCTCACCAAAATACTGCTTTTATAGGCAGTACTTAGATTTGGGGCGTTTGATCAAAATGATCCACCTTTGTCTTATTACTTTACAAGCCTGCAAAAATTAAAAATAAATTATGTTTGCGAGGTGCTAGTATGAAATAATTGTATTCAAGACGGAAAGCTTTCCTTCTTTCTTGTGAGTCAATATACCTGTTGTGGCTTTTCTGCCAAAACAAGCAAAGCTGTCAGCTAATGGTAGATAGGAGAATTCAGTGTGTCAGCTACCATCATTTCCTATAGTATGTGCAAAACTCTATTAATGTTAATGTTAGTGTTATTCTGAAGGGAGATCACAAGACTACTGGTTCTGTGTTCACTAACCTGACTTTCAGTGAATTTGCTGCAGACTCAGCAATGTTTTGTTTGTTTATAATCCTAGTGTTGTGCAAAATTATTGTATTGTATTGATTCTTTCTTGGGAAGCCGGCAAGTGAGCCATAGAGGAAAAAAAGACACCACCACTGTCAAACAAAGAGCAACTAATGGTTGGAAAACAGCTAGGTACAGCGAACCAGGGAGCATTTTAAGGCATGCTTGGATATTTGGCTATATTTTTTAAAGTGACTGATTCTATTTCAGGAAACAGGAAACAGGATATTTCACTGCATGATAATTTAAATAGCAAATACCAGTAAGAAGGCACTCACTTTCACTTGTTTCTCTAGCTCTCAAACAAGCTGAATTCTCTTTCCACCCTGATTTCCATGAGACTGGAGTTCCTGAGAATTCTCTGCAGCCATGAGCACTACCTGAACCTAAACCTCTTCTTCATGACCTCTGCCTCTACGCCAGCATCTCCTTCACCCTCTTTGTCCTCACAGGTAGGCATCCATCAGCCAATATTAGGTGGTCTTCACCTGAAGAATGCGTGTAGACAAAGACTTCTGTTGCTCTGTATTTAGCTGCTTCAGTTAGAGTTAATGAGCCATCACTACATCAGGGAGAAAAGGGGCAAAATAGTAAAGACTAAAGGACCACTACTGCAAAACTGAACCTACGCAAGTTAATGCTTAACGTAGCACAAGTATGTTTGTGGTAATGCTTTAGTAGACCCCTCTAGAAACATGTAAAAAGAATACAGTTGTTCATGCAGACATAAAAAATCTAAAAAGAACATGGCTCTGAAGGTACAGAGTTGATTTACAGGCATGCCATAGACACACAGCTGCTAGTACATATTTCAGTATCAGTGTGTGTTTTGGAGAGCTGTGGCATGTGCCACAGCAAACTTCAGTGCATTTGTTTTCTAGCTGAAGTTCTCAAGTAGATGAAAATACTATAGCTATATGTGTTAGTGACAAAACCAATGGAATTTTCAGTATCTTAAATGATGTATTTCTGTAGTTCTTCATAGCAAGGGTATCACTCTTTCCATTTCGAATATCAATGTTCTTTTCTTGGGATCCTCTCCTCCCCAGTGGCACAGCTGATGCTATTACTTTGTAGTTTCTCTAAGCAATTCAAAATTTGTGCTTTTTGAACCATGAATTTCAAATGAACTTTGAAATGTTAAAAATTCAAAGTGAATTTTGAACCAAAATTCCAATGGAGCAATTCAGATTCATAGTTCCCTTTTCAAGTGTCACTGCCAAAGAATTAGTTGTATGCTAAGATCTCTTATGTCACATACCTCAAGGGTTCTGACAGGTCTGTACTTTTTAGAACTCTTCTTGGTCTTGAAAGCAAAGCGTGAAGGTCCCATAATCATGTCTTCACAATAGTTCTGCTTAACCCTCACACTAGATTTCAAAGAGCTAGAGATAGAACTCCTCTGCTTGTATGTGGGGAGACAGAAATCTTCCAACTGGTTCTAGCAGGTCAGAGCTGGGCAGGCACCCTTTTGATCATTCCTTCCTTGAAACAACACCAACTCTTCTTTAGGAGTAACATCTGAAGTGCAACTGCGGCAAATAAATAAGGCTTTTGAAGGCCTTGCATGATTTAATGACCACCCTGATCTGTCCGCAAGAGTGCTACCCTTGGGTAATATTAGATTTTCAATAAGCAATGTGGCCTTTCAAATAAATCTTTTGGAATTCGTGAAGAGAAGCCAAATTCACTTAAGTGGATGCTCTGCACCTTACTGTTACTTTTCAGAAACAAAGTGCCTTCTGCTCAAGTTTTAAATGGGAGCAGGTTAAGCTAGGTCAGTGTAAAGTATAGGGCAGCTTAGAGATGCGGGCTTCATTTGAAATAATATGCTGGAAGACACCTTTCACAGTATGGTATACTACTATTTCATGTGTTTGGGTTTTGGGACTATTTCTTCGTGACTGACACAAATATTGCGAGAGAATATTGAACAATATAAATTGAAAGCAAATTTCAATCTTATAAACCCCAGTAGCTTCACTGGGGAGTAGCGTCTAAAAGTTACGTTCCCCAGATCAAGGTACAAAAACATTCCAGATGACCTATGGCACCTATGATTGGAGAAGGTAAGAAGTTCACAACATGCATATAGCAGCAACTTTCCATTCCTGGACTAGCTGTATATCAGCCATAGCCATATGTTAGAGCAATTTGAAGGCTGCTTTAAATTATGCCAGCTGCCAGCAAGCTCAGCCAAAATTTTCCAGAGCGAAAGGAAACACTGTTATACACCCTTCCTCACCTTACCTCCATGGTAGACATTATAGGAGCTTAATAGCGCAGTGCTTTTGATGCCCAAAGTCTCCCTTCTACGAGGGGCAACCTCATCAGCTTTGCAACAGTAAGAATGACGCAGAATTCTAAACATGGGGAAAATTCTGACTTTGTCTCCTATCCAAACTGATGATACAGGGTAGGAATTTCACATCTCAAATAACATTAAATGAATTGTTTGCACAGAATGGAAAGGATGAGGTTGCATCCTTGCAAGCAATTCATTTGAAAATTGATGCTTTTTATTTCACACACTGATGTTTTTCTCCAGACTTCTTTCAATGCCTGAAATAAGGTTTCCTCTGGTAAGGGTACTTTGTTATCTGCGTGGATTGTCCTTATGACATCTTTAAGAACGTTTGTTTCACCAGTCATCCTTTTACTTTTTTTACATCCTATTCTTCTGCAGAATTCTAGCTCCTGCTCCAGCTTCCAGGACCAGAAGATTGCTGGTATGTTTGACCTCTCATCAGAATACCGTCAGCAGCACTTTCTGACTGGATTACTCTTTACAGAATTGGCAGCAGCACTGGACGCAGATTGTGAGGGGTGAGTATCCAAATCTGCAGATTTTAGAATGGCACCATGTCAACACTAATGTACTGTTGGTATGGTCATAGTTTAACTCTAGGGTAAATCCTGTTTCCCCTAAATGCAACCAAAATCACTTAATGTATCATGACAGTGTTGGCTGGAATTATCAGAAAGAACATTTTCTGTCTTTGGCACAGAGTCTAAGAGTCCTGCAATGCTTCTTCGGTGTTGCCTCCATAAGGAATTACTTTTGCATGAACCTTCATGAAAGTTCATATGAAAGTGTAGTGGATGTTGAGGCACGCACTACAGACACTCTCGCAAGCATCAACAAGTCAATCACACTGAGTTGTGATGTAGACTGATTCTGAAGAAAAGGGAAGCGAAAGAATGGTCTTTACCATCTCTGTCAATGAGTCACTCTAAAACACTTTATTGCAGGATGTTGGTGTTACTGAGTAAAAGAGTACTATTTGCTGCAGTAGTGTTGGATAAATAGAGATCACAGCTCAAAATTTTAGTCACTCTTCTTTCTAAATCACCACTGTCTTTTAGCCTAAGAGTTTAGCCTAACTTTGTTCAGAGTGTGATGCTTTTCTTTAAGCATCTCTCTTTGCCACACTGATTTTTCCATGGGTGCTTCTTGATTCACACTATGGCCATGTAAGACAGCTGTCTTTTGCAGGGAACATGGATCTCTGCTTTGAGTGGAAGACACTGTCTAATGACTATTGGTGTATTAATTTCCTTCTCCCATGTCCACCTTGTTTCTTAAATCTTTGATTACAAATAATCTGTGCATGACCTGTTATTGGAGCTCATGGCAATTTTTTGTGTTAACAGGATTAGTAAGGTGCAAAGAAAAGCAGTCAGTGCTATCCTTAGCCTGCTGAGTTCCCATGACCTAGACCCACGTTGTTCCAAAAAAGAGATGAAGATTAAAATTGCTGCTCTCTACCTCCCTTTGGTTGGTATAATTTTGGATTCACTTCCACAGCTCCATGACTTTACAAGTAAGACCTTTATTCCTTTGTCTTTTTCAGCCTTAGAGTAACCTGTCTAAACAATCTGACTTAAAGAATTTGCCTTAAGTACTGAAATTCTGCCACAGTCTAGCAAGGCACAGTATTTCTTTATTTCCACATAACTGGATTTTTTAAAGAAGGGAAAAAATCTAGTGTCCTTACTTACCAAACAAATGATAGACCCAGTGGTATATCTATGGGATCTTGCAAAAAAAGCAGTCTTTCAAGAAAAACTAAGATACAGATAGGCTTAACAGACAGTGAGGAAGAAAACAAGAATGACATGGGCATTGTGTTACATTATAATTAAAGAAATTGGATTGTATTCCTTCCATATTTCTCTATTGCTCCTTAGGACTGTTAACATGACACTGAAGTTGTCAGAATTTATCTCAGATGTATGTAATCATCACTCAGAAAATATATTTCTATCACCTACTGTAACTTTAAACTTTTTTCTCTGTTACTAAGCCTTTTTAAACTAAGCTGTTTTCTTGATTTTTTTTTTTTCTATAAATGTGTTCGTATGAAACTGCTGAAAAAAGCAATTTGACCTTCTGTATGAGAAATAATAAATCTTTGCTACTTGGAAAATTGCATTTTACTTTCATTTAAAAAATTAAAGACTATGGGAAAAAAGGTATAATCCTTGAAGAATATACTTTTGTCTCTGGTTCTGAAAATATTTTTCATTTTGATATCTGGACAAAAGTTTAGCATTACGAATGTATTATTGAGCTCTTTCAGTCTAATAGCATGAAAGCATTTATTGCACGTAATATAAGTAAATCTCACTACATTCTTCTAACATAAGTATCATCCTTATGCCACAGACTAAAGAAGTCCAGGTCTACCAGTATGGCTAGTTTTTAAAGGCTCTTTTTAAATCTGCAGTATCTGAGGTTGTTGACCTTGTTCTGAACACTCAGGGATTGGCTCGTCAGTCAGTTTCTGTCAGTTTCTCTAAAAACTACATCTTGGAAAGCACAAATGGATGCTCAGAATCTAATGAGATTTTTACAGAGCTTTTACAAACGGTCTGATTCACTGAAATTGATCTCAAGCACCGAGTAGAAGCAAACAGATGCCTGAAATTAAAATTATCCTTTAACTTGAAGGCAGTAGTGGCTCTGTCAGGTGTTAGCAGACTTAAATTGCTTGCCAAATTTCCCCAGGCCGATGCATGGCTTTCATGTTGATCTTTTCACCTGAAATTGACTGAAAGTGGACATTTCTTTCTATGTGTTGTGAAGTTCTGGCTTAGCTTTGAACTTCAGAGCCAACCTCATGTTCGCTACTGCTTTTGCTTTTAGTTCAGCTTCCATAAATACCTGGAGGTTGTTGGGCACAGCTCCTTTCTCCATATTTATTTGAACAATTTGACAGTTTTTACAGATGATTCCAAACTGTCTTGCCACTGCTATATAATTTCTGCTGTTCAATAAAAATAAAGTCTCAGGAATGGAGGTGCCAATCATTTTGTTAGATAACAGCTCAGTGAAAGACTGTGAAATGTGAGCAGCAACAACTCAATTGCTGATGAGGTCCCAATGGGATGTTTTAAATCTAGTTTCAGATGCCCGCAGCGGAAAGGGGCGCACAGGAAACCCAGAAGAAGAACAGGAGTCTGCAGGTGCAATCAGTCAAAATGTGGCACTTGCTATTGCAGGGAATCAGTTCAACCTCAGGAGCTCTGGAACATCTCTGACGTCCTTGGTATGTCCAGGGTTTTGCCAGACTCCTTTCTTGAATACATTTTTATCTTTGTTTTTTCCTTCACATCCTTTCTTGTGATGAATAACTGCATGCACAAGAAATTGCCTTCTTGTTTCTGCTAGCCCCAAAAGAATGCCTCGTATTCCTACTGTCATCTTCCACTTTAATCTTCAAATCTTCCAATTGCCTCCTCACCAGAAGTGATTCTACTTTTTCTCCAGTGTTTCTGTTGCCATCTGCACACCCAACCTAGTTATGCTTCCAGATCAGCAAATGCTGCTGTATCTCCCCTACCATCTATCTTTGCCAGTGACACCTAAATTCACGGATTTAGGGCTCAAGATCATCTTCTTCTCCCTATATCTCTTTTCTTATGATTGTTTTTCTTTTCCATGCAATTTGGCTGATACAACTGGCAAAAGGGGAGCAAACAGTTATAGAATATTTTTAAAAATTATTCTAATGAACTTAAAGTACAGGCAAGTAACAAACAAAAATGGTTCCATCCTTCCTTCTTTTTTCATAAACATATAGCTAGTACCTCTGTCACATACATACATAGTGTGACAAAAACAAGATCACTATAATCTGGAAGAGGTTAAACTTACAGAAACTCTACCATGAGATTTGACTCCACTGAAATTTATGTAACATTACTTCACTTGAATGTCCTCTCTATTCTTTTATCTTTCAACTGACTTTTACCTTATCTGTTTCCAGTCCTACAGGCAGAGTGCCACATTAAGTCCTGATACTACTCGCAACCTTCTGATCTGTTTCCTCTGGATCATGAAAAATGCTGATCAGAATCTAATACAGAAATGGATTGCAGACCTTCCATCCATGCAGCTAAACAGGATCTTAGACCTCCTTTTTGTTTGTGTTTCGTGCTTTGAATACAAGGTAAGTGAAACATGCCCTGGTTTTGTTGTCATGTTTTGTTTTTTTTTTTCTTTCTGGCTGTCCAGAGGACTTGTTATTGACAAGTGTTAAATTAGCTCTTGTCTAATCTATGCTACAAACAGACATATTAATTCAAAATGACTGAGACCAGCCTTCAAGCAAAATGCAGTCTAAACTTCTGAGGACACCTTATGAAGTTGGTTTGAAATGTATTATTTTTCCATGTCTTGAGAGTTTCACAGCTGTTTTGGGTGGGGAATATATACATATACTCAAGTCCAGTTTACAAATGTTTTCCAGTTATGACTGAATATAAATAATTGGTGCTGTCATTACTGCAGCTATTCTCCTTATACCCTACCCGTTTCAAAGCAAGATCCTGGTGGTGACACTTTATTTAAGGGTTAGATCCGACATCAGGACTCTCTCTCTGATAGAACTTGTCTGAAATAACCTCTGTGCACTTTAATTTCTCTCTCTGCAGCACTGAGCTACATCACTATTTTTTATGAACATACATATACTACCCTTCCTCATCTGGAACCTTTAAGAAGCATTTGTATGTTAGTCAATGATATTTATTGCTTTCTATCTGTTCTCCCAGTCTCTCCTGCTGTCTAAGGTTTGGGTGGTATAATCTGGACTTGTGTTCAAAGCTGGAGGCATTGGTGTTGATTGCTTTGATTTCACTTTCAGGGCAAACAAAGCTCAGATAAAGTTAGCAACCAAGCACTCCAGAAGTCCAGAGACGTTAAAGCCAGATTAGAAGAGGCTTTGCTGAGAGGTGAAGGAGCCAGAGGAGAAATGATGAAGCGCTGCAGAATACCAGCTGGTACTTCATAGCACCTTTCCCCCATGACTTTTGAGAGGATATTGAAAGTTTTTAGATGTAAATGTGTTTGTTAGGTTTTATGCAAACTCCCAGTTCTCATCTCTATCTTTCTCTCCCACAGTCCTTTCCCTTGTAGGCCTTTTCTGTTTTCTTGTGTTAAAAATATTGTTATGTTTCAATTTTGCAATGTATAACTGAGATGAAGAATATGAAACCAATCAAGAGATTTTAATGAATTCTGAGAAACTCTTGTTAGTTTCTGACCAAAAGCAATGAAACAATGCCAAAATATAAGGATAAGTAAGGATAAATTGTTAATATCAAAAGATTTGTTTCATTTAATAAATTGAATTTTTATGCGTTGGTCTTAGAAGAAATCAATAAGTAAGCTGATGTTCAAAAAATCTTAGATGAAAAAATAGTGGAGTCCTGTTCTTTTGTGTGCCCCTGTGCTTTAATCTCAGTAATATATGTTGCACTTTCAGGGAATGACAGGTCAGCAGGACTAAATGAAAACCTGAGGTGGAGAAAGGAGCAGACTCACTGGCGGCAAGCAAATGAGAGACAAGATAAGTAAGTCATTTAATAAAATTATTGCTTTTATTAGAACCAAGCTGTTCTTTTTTTTTTTTTTTTTTAATGTTATGATCTTTCTCCTAGGATGGTTTTAGTACAAAATCAGCAGTATCAATCTTTTTCCTCCTCTGTTAATGGAAAAGAAATAGAAAATGTGTATGTAGCAGAAATATCCAACTGGTGCTGTGATGTAACAGAGATCACAAATACTTGAATGAGATGCTTAGTTATCTACATTTTTTTCCTTTTGATTATCAAACTGAGAAACACTAGTCATTGGTACATGCATCATATATTCCAGTGAGGCTTGCCATGACACTTGCTTTGGTGTTGCTATCACACTTTGCTGTGTACACTACTGTGGTGTAAGTTTTCAACATTAAATATGTTTGGCTGGATTTGACATGTTATGTTAGCTATGGGAAGGGGATTCTGTAGTGAACATTTTTCTTGTTGCAGGCTGTAAATTATGATATATCAATACATTTCACCTTTTGTGCACTACATAGTAGTAGACAAGTAAATGTCTAGATTTATGGGAAATGATAATTTCAAGAAAGATTTGTGCTACTAATAGCATTTTCATATGATACATGGTACTATTCTGTAAGCATTTAAGTTGTTGCTTTTCTCTAATGTGACCATGCGTAGATTGTTGTCCAAAGATACTTGCTTGAATTTTGTCTGTCTGACACACAGGCCACTGTGTGTTCTCACCAGTCCAGCTGCTGTGAGTTCCCCCAGTGTCCTTCAGCATGTGTGAATTTGAATTGAGAACAGTTTGTGATCAGCTCAGCAACTGTGTTGTTGCCACCTAACATGCAGCTGTGATTATCACATACATTTTTTGAAAACAAAGATTTTTAATTTGGTATTTATCTGAACTTTAAAAGAATTATCCTTCTGCCCTCTGTCCTAGGTTGGAAGAGGTTCAGATCCTGTGTGGATGTTCTTTCTTTGCCTTGAAATCAGCTTGCTTCCTCTCAGTTTCACTGAAGTCAGAGTAAACCAGCCCTCATGCAGCAGCTCTACAGTATTGTTAAATATAAATTTAATTAAAACTTAAATTAAATCTTCTAGTAAAACTCTGCATGTTGTCAAGGCCTTTCTGTTTTATCCTGTGTTCATCACTTTGGTATGTGAGAACCTTTAGAGATCCTTTATGGATTTCTACAGCATATGTCCTGTAAGTAAGGTGTTTGCAAATCACATACATGGCACAAAAACTTTGCAAATGTTGCCACTTAGACTGCATCTCCTTGAAGCCAGCATGTTATGAGATGGTGACAAGCTGCAGTTACAAGCTAAGATTGGTGTCAGAAAGGATCCACTCAGCATGGTTTATGTGCTAGCCTAGTGGTTGTTGGAAATGGTTCAGAAGGCTATGTCATTTGCCTGATTTGTTCCGCTCTTACTCATAGTTAGCAATCCATGCCTTGATTGTAGCACCAGCCTTCTGGCAGGCCCTACTTTTCTTCGTTACTTTGAATTATTGTAGTTAATAACTGTGCTATTGCTCCTACTTTCTTTCCTGTCCCTCCCCAAAATTAAGCAGTTGTGCCCAAAAAGATGGCTCTTTACTTCTCTGGTTTTCTTTTTGTGTGTGATTCCACTGAGAAGGGAAACAAACACAGCAGAACAGCTACAGATTTTGAACTCGCTCAGAAGTGTGTTTGTAAGAGTGTTCTTCCAGCCACAGAAAAATTATATTTAGCCTTAGAGCAGTTCAAATCAAACCTTAAAAAACTGCTTCAGCGATGGAATGGGTCTTTTCAGAGTAGTTTAGGAAAAAGATCAGTATCAGCTCTCCTGGATTGACGCTGTAGTTCTTAAGAAATGCCTCCAAACACTGTTGTCATTGTTTGATCTTGCATGATCATTCCGCATTTGTATTTTGCTTTTGTTTCAATAGTAGGTCATCCACCACCTGTGGAACTCCCTTCTTGCTTTAATTAGAACTCTTTTCTGTAGGACAAAAGCAGAGCTAGACCAAGAAGCTCTCATCAGTGGAAACCTGGCAACTGAAGCTAACCTGATCATTCTTGACATGCAAGAGAACATCATCCAGGTGGGAAATTGCAGTTCTGGCTTGGTATCACTTTCTGCTTTCTCAGAAGGCAGTGGAAGCAAGCCTTTTATATCTTAGGTGGTACAAATTGTTTTAATTAAAGATTTATTTAATTAATCTATTTAATTGTTTTAATTAAAGATCCAATTCGGGGCCGGATTGGATGGGGCCCTGGGCAGTCTGGTCTAGCATTAGGTGGAATGGTTGGTGGCCCTGCGTGTGGCAGGGGGGTTGGAGATTCATGATCCTTGAGGTCCCTTCCAACCCTGGCAATTTTGTGATTCTGTGATTCTGTGATCTACTGTAAGCTTGTATAAAGTCTTGGAGTGGTGAAGAAGACAAGGATGAATGAATCTAGAGACAAAATTACTGCCTTACTCTGTTGTCACGAGCACTTCTTACTGTTAGGGCATGCTACTGTGAATAAAAGGGAAATCTAACCCCTTGTCCTCCATAGATGTGTTTAAAAGCCATTTCAACTGTCTTACTATGATAGTGAAGTTTGGAGAGGATAAGGGAAGAAAAGTCTTCATTTATATTAGCAATGTGTCTTAAGACAGTACTAATTTGGAACTAGGCTGATGGGCAGCCTTAGGTCATACTTTGATCCTGTGAGACAAAAGTCATTTAACCTTGACTTTCACAGAGTACTTAATGCAGGGAAAGATTTTCCACCTTTTGAAAAGAGATGTGTCCCTCTATAGCAATGTAAAGAATTTAACTTGCAGGAGTCGAATGCAGCAAAATTTCACAGGCTCTTTGACATCACTAGAACCGTAACAGTTGACTGTGCTGAGACAAGATCTCCTGGCTTAGGAAAGACACTCCAAATTCATAGGTATTGGAATACTGCTGTTAGAGCAACCTGTATTAATACATAGTTAAGAGAGAATTTTGTTTTTCAAAACCTACTAGTTGATAAGGATTTAGCTATTAGATCATTGTAGTACTGGGCATGACTTTTACATGGCACCCATTATTGCAACTTGTATCCCTTCTGTCCAGAAGATACCAGTATGCTTGTCCAGCCAGTGTGCCCAGAAATGCATGAGGGAAAAAATGAGATGCATAGCCATCACGGAGTCACTTCCCAATGCAATATGCATGAAAGATTAGACACAAAGCAGGCATTAGGAGCCTATGAAAACCGAAAAATGTTGAAAACATTTTCCCATCATCTTGTTCACTACAAAACTGTTTTGAGTTCCCTTTGCAGTAGATGTTAAGAAATTAAAACAAACAAAAACCTGTGTTTTCCAAACTGTTGGATGCATCTTGTGAATGGGAGAGCAGAACAACCAATTCCTACATGCAAGTTCACTGGTGAATTACCTCATGCAGTTATTGTTGTTTTTCTCCTTCATGTATAGGCAAGCTTTGCAGCAGAGTGCAGAGACAATCTTTTGGGAGGAGTTTTGAAGGTCCTGGTAAATTCTCTTGGCTGTGATCAGAGCACCACTTACCTGACTCACTGCTTTGCTACACTCAGAGCACTCATTGCTAAGGTATGCTTTTGACATGCTTCTGTTTCCATGCTTCCAGACAAGTTGTTGGAGCAGCATTTCTATAGCAGAGCTGTAGGTAATCACTCACCATTTTTCCCATGGCATTTGTTAAGTATGGTTAACAGATGTAAATACTAATGCCTAGATGGAGGGACTCTCAGGAACTTCTCTAGCTCTTGTAATATTATCTCATTGCTGCACAAGGTGGGATGAATGAATCAGAACAACTTTGTGGCTGCGAGTTTGAGCAGTCTACTCTTAAATACAGAAAAATTTCAAATAAAAAAGGTTAAAAAAATACAACTAATTATTTCAAATACATTCTGATTTTAATTAGGCATCTTAATTCCAGGGAATGCGCAGATACTGTAAAGAAATATCTGAATTACTATATAATCAAGACTAGTTTCCAATTTAAAATCTGGGAAAGAGCCATTCTCCTATGAAGAAAATTACTTCCACAAAAGAAAAATCAGTGACATGTTTTTTTCACTTAAGCTATTCTAAAATGCAAATAACAAATAGGATACTCCTGTCCAATTAATGCCTGTTTGCTGCTAAATGCAGATTGTCTGACAAAGCCTAATTACAGGGTAGATATCTGAGTAGTTATGAAACTCTTAATTATGTTTTCATTGTACTTTATCTTTGGGAGCTAACTTTCAATTAAAATAATGAATTTTGTGAAGCAATTGTTACTCTTACTGAAGTAGATCTCCCAATTAAGCTGACTCAGTTTTTCGTTTTATGAAGCAATCATTGCAATTATTTATATTACACCTTAGGTATATACATGTTATTTTACAAACAAATGGAAATGATAGAACCCTACGCCAGCAGGTTTGTAATATAAATTAGGTGTAAAACAGTGAGATAATTGAGAAGGTTAGGGTCTGGGAAATAGGCCTGCAAATAGAAAATAACCCAGTACTCTTCTCACACACCTTTTATCAGTCCAACCTGTACGCGTATGACACTGGTGCAACACTTGTTTGTACAGTGACAGTCTCTTAGGATAGACATTTTGCTCACAGGGTTTATTGTCTGCTAGATGCATGAAGACACTCTTTAAAAGAGGGTCTGTCATGAAAGCTGGGCAACAGAATTTTTGTGGCACACTGTAGGAAGAAGAATGTGCTGGAGGGATAGGGAGGGGTAGGGCATTGATGCAAAAAGCCAGTAATTACTCGTTATGCGCAAGGAAATATTTGCATGGTTCAGCAACTGCTAGATATTCTGAAAATAGCAACTTCTCCTGCTTTTTAAGAATTTTGCAATGTTCTATCCTTTCAAAAACTCCTGAAGGCACCATGGGACTCCCTGAGAAAGTTTTTGTTCTCTCTTTCTATTGCTCTTTTTTTAGACAGAAAGACTATTTTCAAACCCTTCTTCTCTTTAGAATAGCTTGGAAATGGGGTCTGTAGAGGCACAGAAATCAGATGCCCATATTAAGGGTATAAAATGTTATTTGTGTAGATTTCAGTTCTTGTCTGAACCCTGTGATTTTCATGCACTAAGCTCATGGTATTTTAATGGCCAGAAATGGTAGTACTGAATGGTATCTTCTCTGTCTCCCTTAGTTTGGAGATTTCCTGTTTGAAGAGGAGGTGGAACAGTGTGCTGACCTCTGTCAAAGAGTTCTCCATCACTGCAGCAGCAGCATAGATATCACACGGACTCAAGCCTGTGCTACTCTTTATCTCCTCATGAGATACAGCTTCAGCTCTACCAGTGTAAGATTTTGACAACAGCAAAGTGTTTCATGCCAACTGTTTCATGACCAATTGAAACAGAAACTGAAGCTGTGGTAACAAACAGGAAGCATCTGCAGATCAATATGTTGTGCTCTTTTGCACACTTGAACTGGAAGTGGTGTGAGAAGTGTAGAGAAGGAATTGTTTTAATTATTGTTCAATGTCTTGTTTAGGAAAATGTGATTTTTTCCTGCAGTATCTATAAATACATTTTCAAATGGAACATCATTAGGCCTCTGATAGCAAGGGCTGTACGAGAGATAAGCAACACTTTATTTTTCTCATAATTTTTTTTGCTTCTGTGTCGGAACGGCTTCTGACCGGTTTTATTCTAATGCAATTACTACCTTAGTAGAATAACTGTACATTGTTATTAATGCAAATTTTTCACTTTCCCTTTCATGTCAAGGACTATAAACTAGGCCCTGATTCTACCCACACACACAGAGCAAAATATGTATTTTATTTGTGTAGATTCCTAATGTCCTAGCATGTAAAGACATTCATTAGCATCATTTTCTCCTTAGTTTTCATTTTAAGAACCTTTAATATGTAAGACGTGGTGGATGTGCAGTAAGGATGCTTCTGCAGCACTGTTGCCGTCAAGGTATGGTGCATCACCAGATGAAGTCCTTGGAGGCCATTTGTTTTACAGGCTTGTTTCCTGACTGTTTACATAGTCCTGCTGCCTCTCATTCTCTCTGAGTGGCTGATCTATTTCCTACTGGCCTGTCCTGAGGTGAAAATGCTGGATGTGGCTCTGGGCAGCCTGGTCTAGTAGTTGGTAACACTGCACATAGCAAGGGTTGAAACTAGATGATCATTGTGGTCCTTTTCAACCCAAGCCATTCTATGAAAAGAGAGAGCTGACTTCCTCTAGTTTCAAGCAAGCATATTCTTGTCTCATAGCACTGACATGTCAGAGTCCAGGTCTGCTGATTTCTTGCTCACATAAGCAGCAGCTTTAACCCACACAGTGTGGGCAGGTAAAAGTGGTTTTGGTTTATGTAGGAGACAAAGATATGTGAACTGATATGATATGCATGGTGTATCATCTCTAATTTTTGGGTTTCTTTTCCTTCTTCTGAAAGAATTTTTCAAGAGTAAAGATGCAGGTAACCATGTCACTAGCTTCTTTGGTTGGCAAATCACCCGAGTTTAATGAGGAATTCCTTCGACGATCTTTACGAACTATCCTGGCCTATGCAGAGGAAGATGCAGATATGCAGGCAACTCCGTTTCCCCTTCAGGTCAAATCTTTTGTAATATCTGTGGTTTGTATTAGAGCTTTCACATAGGAATGTGCTTGGAGCAAGTCCTAGAATCTCAGTCTTACACAAGAATGAAAATAATGATTCAGGAATTGTTGTCTGAGCTTATGTCTTATGCAACAATAAGCAGGACAGAAATGGAAGACTCAATTCTGTACCATTTGATTCACATTAGAGAAGGGTTATCTCTTAGCTTTGTAGACAGCTTTCTCCTAGGCCCCAGCAGGAACTGTACACCATAAGAATTTCCTGGGGTGGAATTTGACTAAGTTTGTTTTCTAGCAAGTAGCGCTGTGGAAACATCTCGCTTCTTTTCAATTTATAAGGCGCAGTAGCAGTAATGAAAAACATTTCAGACAACTGCCAGGTGCTTTGCTGAAATTCAGTTTGTGCTGAAGACTTACAAAAGCATCTGGTTTGTTATCAGATCACAGGAAGAACTAAGTTAGCATATAGTCTTGTTGGAGTTTTTTGTTGTTATTTTTTTGTTTGCTTTATTCTTGATTTTTGTTTTTGATTGTTTTTTTTATTTTCATTCAGAAGTAAGCTGATCAAAGGTGTGTCCAGCTCATTTTGATTCATTAACATGTATGAATAAAATTTGCTATGTCAGTAGTGTTTGCTGCACTGAATAGAATTGGAAAAACATGCCTAGTAGCAATTCAGCATTCTGCCATTTTCTTCAGTAAGAGGGACTAAGTTTGACTAACATCATCTGTTGCAGAGACTGGTACTTTCCTAGAAGAGAAAAAATAAGTGCCTGAGAAATGCATGTTCATCTTTGTATTACTGCAGGTAGAGGAGCTGCTGTGTAATCTGAACAGCATCCTGTCAGACACAGTGAAAATGAGGGAATTTCAGGAAGATCCAGAAATGCTCATGGACCTTATGTACAGGTGAATCCAGTTAGATCTTCTGGTGAGGGAATTCTGCAGTGAGGTGAGCACAAGAATTGTGTGTCAGGGACAAGCTGAGGACAAACACTCTAGCTGTTCTGTACGCTCCCACTTCACAGCTGACCTATCACAGGGGACCCAGGTGGGACTGCTTATGTGGAGTCATGCCAGTGGAGCCACTGGGAGGTTACTGGTGTGTATGGGCTTAGGCAAGGATGGAAGTCAGGAACTAATGATCACTGAGGGGTCTTGGTTTCAGCATTTTTGCTTCCTCATAACTCCATTATTTCCTAGCTCCCCTTCTCTAGCTACTTCTTTTACCATGTGCTTAGTGAATCCTACTTACAGAATAAAGACAGAGGTGTCTGCTTCCATTCAGCCCATGTGGAGAACTATAGAGATCCTTTCTGTTATTTGAGAAGTCATTCACATCTCCTGTCTTCCCTGTGTCATTAGAATTGCCAAAGGGTACCAGACATCACCCGACCTGAGACTGACTTGGCTGCAGAACATGGCAGAGAAGCACACCAAAAGGAAGTGCTACACAGAAGCAGCTATGTGCCTCATCCATGCTGCTGCACTGGTGGCAGAGTACCTCAGCATGCTTGAAGATCGCAGCTATCTCCCAGTGGGCAGTGTCAGCTTTCAGGTAAGAAGAGAATCCAAAGCTCTGACAGACTAGGATAACCTATCATTGTTTTTGTATTTCTTCTTGTGTCAAGCTGAGTAGGAGTGAATGTACAGGTAGGAAAAGTTATGATGACAGAGGATCTATCACCACTCTTGATAGGTCATTCTGATTATTTATTGCAATCACTGATGAAAAATGCTACTTTAATATCTAGCTGTCCATAGCTTCTATCTGCAGCCTTTGGATGCTGTAATCTCTTATCTGCAAATTAAAAACCCTCTATTATCATGTATCTTTTCCTATGGTTGTTACTTAATAACTGTGACAGATTCATCTTTCAGCCTTCTTTCTGATAAGCTAAGTAACTGGAGCTACTCTATTTTTTTAATCACATTCTCCAATCCTATGAGTGTCCTCCAGTTACTAAGCAGCATCTTCCTCAGGAGTAAATGACACAATCACATTAGTTTATGCACAATAAAAATGTCCTGTAAGAACTTCAAGTCTGGGAAGTACTTTTTAGTTTATAGCTTCAAAGGCCCCACTGGTTTCTTTGGCCTTGTTGAGCTCCATACTCAGTGATACATCAGCCTTTTCCAGAGAGATTTCTTGGAGTATTTTTTGTTTGTTTGTTTGTTTCCCCTCTTCTTACCCAAACTTATTTTATGTGCAAATGTAGTGATTTTATTCCTTTTTTTTTTTTTTCCCACACGTAAAATAGATTTGGCTACACCCTTAGAATATTCCCATGTGTTGATGATTCTTCTTTTATGATTGTTGTCTAAAACTTATGATGCTCGTATCTCTGCAATCATAACATTTTCTTCGGAGATTGACAGTTCGTGTTCACACTGAATCCCCTTTGTGAGGGAGAATGATGACTTAAAGAGAGTATGGACTGGCTTTAAAGTCAGTTTACATTACTACAGACAAGGTCTTAGTATATGTGCATCTATCTGTTGAGATGCAAGGCTAATTAGGCCTGGCATTAGGCTAATCAGCCATGGTGTTCTGAGGATCAAAGTTGCAGGCTACTTGTTACATCTAACTTTATGATGAGATCTGGTGACAACTGGCCAAGTCTCTTAAATTAACACAAGTGTCTCTTTTACTCAAAGAAAAACAGGTCCATGTTGTTCAAAATAGTTACAGATTATATATTTGGTAATTTGTAAATTGCTTTTGTCATAGAGGAGACTTTGAAAATTTTTCCATATTGAAGGTGGTCGAAGGAAAAAAAGTGAATGGGATATGTCCATGCTGCAAAAGATTACACTAGCCCCAGAAATATGTCATGGAGATGCTTTCCTACTAGAGCATGTGGACTGAAAAAAACATGAAAATACATTCCTGACATTGGTTATTACAGATTTAAAGACAAAGAAGAGGGAATTTATGCCTGTGATTTTCTAGGTTTCCTCTCACATATAAATCAATCTTCTGGACACTCTTCCCATTGCTAAAGAAAATAAAACAAAAAAGTCATAAAATACTGTGTGCCACTTTGTGAAAACAGTCCTAATGGTACTGTTAAGGAAGGAGAGAGCCAGAAATTGGGCTGTAGCATAGGTTGTATGAGTTGCCCTAGTATGTGCCAGGTATGCAAACTGTGTTTAATGTTACTGTCTTCAATCGGACTGGTAGCTGAAAAATGACAGCCATGGGTCTACTTAAAAGTGCTGTCATTTCCTCTTTGGATGAAATGCAGACATATTCTCATTCCTGTGAATTCTCTCCTGCGTTTAGTGCTGATTATTGCAGAGGAATTGATATGATGTTCAGAACAGACACAGTGATGGTAATGTGGCTGCAGTAAATTTTGCTCCTGGAAAAATAAATACATCTACAAAAGCCATGGGGGGAAGTTTTGTGTTGCTAGTGATGTGTGATGCCGATTCTTTATCTGAAATCTGATCAATAGTAGCAGACCTCAGACTCTCAGCCGTTTTATAAAGATGTCTTCTAGGATTTAGATATCTAGCCAGCTGGCATCTGTCTTGCACTCAAATGTTCATTGTAAGTTCTACTGAAGAGAGACACCATGACACTAAGATAACTGCTTATGAGTACTAGCAAATCAAACCTTAGCATGCCATTATTTCAGTTTTTAGAGTAGTACTGTCCATGTTGTACTTCTTTGTTTGTAAAAGTTATAGAATTAACAACTTGAAAATTCAGGTTCTTCTAAAAGCTCAAAGAAGGCCTGAGGTGCAGCTTGATATTTTTCACCTGTGAGGTACAAGAAACTGAAGGATATGGCCTTTAGTTATCCCTGTGGCATAGGAGATTCAGTGCATTCCAGCATTCCAGGGAAACCTAACCACCTGAAGGAGGTCAGCTGGTGATCTACAGGAGTTCACCTTTTAAACCTGAGGCAAGAAAAAAAGTTTAGGATTCTTGAAATGAAACTCCTGATCTGCCATCTGTAAAGATTAATGATGTTACATTTGCTTCTAAATAATATTTAACTGTGTTCCCTCTGGCTGCACTTCCATCTCATTCTTCTTTCTGTCATTTAAGTATGTTGAAACTTTTCTGCCTGGATCTTTACTACAGACTGTTGGTCTAGGTTCCTGATTTCTCTGCTCTGATGTATTTTAGAACATTTCATCCAATGTGCTGGAGGAATCCGCTGTTTCAGATGATGTTCTGTCTCCAGATGAAGACGGTATATGTTCTGGGAGATACTTCTCAGAAAGTGGCCTTGTAGGGTTACTAGAACAAGCAGCAGAACTCTTCAACACGGTGAGTGAAAGAAAAGCATGGGGAGATGTAAAGGAGTTGTGCCAGTTGGTTTTCCTGCACAGGAGGAAGAGAAGGTTTAGTGCTCAGTCAGGCTCCATGGATCTGCCCCATTGCAGAGAGCAGACGTAGGGATGCATTTTTTGGTTGACCCAACCCAGTCTCAGCCAAGTTGACTAAATACACTTTAGCTCAGCCATGTACCCACATCTTACTGTGAGCACCAGTGGCAGCATCAGCATCAGCAGAAAGTGATCGTCCCAACAGAAATCTTTCTGTCTGGTATTTTCATGGGATTATACATTTTAGAAAAAAAGCTTATGCTTAAAATGCAGATTTTATGGAGCATGTAAGAGTTGATCCTGTGCTTTCACACACTATACAGCCACTGGTCTCATAATTTGGACTTACTATGCAGATAGTATTACATTAATAGTCAGCTTCTCATCATATTGTCGCAGTGCTAAAAAACATATATTTAGCATCTCTGAAGAAATCATTTGGGCTTCTTTTGTCCAGATGCAGGTTTTGTTGTGTTTTGGTCTCAGTAAAATCATACATGCTAAAGAAATCCATTCCCTTCTTCTCACCTGGGTTTCTAACTCTGCAGGTCCCTAACCAGAAACCATGTGCTTTACATGGGAATTTTGTACTGAGAGCCCAACAGAGCAGAGATCCAAATTAAACATAGCTTTTTGTTCACAGCTACTTTCAGAACTACTCTTTTACAGTTTACAGATTTTAGGAAGCTAAAACAAGTGACATAATAGATTGAAAGATGAGTCCCATAAATCCCCTTTTCAGACAGGCTATAAATGGAGATCCAGTTTCTTTTCAGAGACCATGAGAATTCATTTCTTGTTTTCTTTGTTTTTTCTTCTCTCTTTTTTTTTTTCCCCACCAAGGGAGGGTTGTATGAAACTGTGAATGAAGTGTACAAAATTGTCATCCCCATACTGGAAGCACATCGAGACTTCAGGAAGCTTACCTTGACACATAGCAAGCTACAGAAGGCCTTTGACAGCATTATTAATAAGGTACTTGTGAGGCAAGGCACCACTAGCAAGACATGTTGCTAGGCTGCAATATTTGGTTATGATTAATGATAGTAAAATGAAGACTGGTGAGAAATAGGTCAGTTTTCTTTTTCTAACAGAAGCTTCCATCTGTTTTGTCCTACCTATAAAGCATGGTCTATAGTGAAACTCTATTCTCCATGCCAGAAAAAGAAGTAAATATAAAATTGTTTTAGAGTTACGAAAAAAAAACAGCTGAATAGGACAAATGTAGAATAAGAAGACTTCATTCAACCTGCCCACATGTATTTAAGAAAAACAACTTTCTTGTCCACTAACTCGTATTTTTAGTTATAAAACAGAGGAAAGAAAAGATTGCCTGACTTCTCAGTTCTCAAGCTGCTTCTGTAGTTATTTTTCTCCAGAAGTGTTTTACACACTCAACCTAGTCAGTTTCATGTGCTTGGCAACTTTTGCTCCTTGCAGAATTGAATTTTATTAAATAGAATGAAATTAAAAGAAATTATGAGTGTTGTTTTGTAAAAGTCATGTAATGGTCAGTCTAAATCTTAAGTTAGGTGGCAGTCAAATGTCCTCTTGAATTGTATTTTTCTTTAGTGGATAAATGCTTCTAATTCACTAGTACTGAAGACATATAAACCTAAATATGCCTCTGAAACATGGGAAGATGTAAAATTAGTGGCTTTTCTATATATAGAAATGGGGGAAAGGGATGTCCAAATGATACTCTGTTGACACTGAAAAACAAGTAATTATGATTTTCCTCTTTTTCTGTATCTATTAGGGACAAAAGCGAATGTTTGGAACTTACTTTCGTGTTGGTTTCTATGGATCCAAATTTGGTGACTTAGATGAACAGGAATTTGTTTACAAGGAGCCTGCAATTACCAAACTTCCTGAGATTTCTCACAGATTAGAGGTAAAGAAAAAAAAAGATAGTGATAATCACAGAATCACAGAATGGCCCGGGTTGGAAGGGACCTCAAGGATCATGAATCTCCAACCCCCCTGCCACTTGCAGGGCCACCAACCTTCCCACCTAATGCTAGACCAGGCTGCCCAGGGCCCCATCCAATCTGGCCTTGAACATCTCCAGGGACGGGGCATCCACAACCTCTCTGGGCAGCCTGTTTGAGTACCTCACCACTCCCTCTGTAAAGAATTTCCCCCTGACATCCAACCTAAATCTCCCCTCCCTCAACTTAAAACCATTTCCTCTTGTCCTGCAGTTATCTACCCTTTCAAAGAGTTGATTCCTCTCCCCTCTGTAGGCTCCCTTTAGGTATTGAAATGCTGCAATGAGGTCACCCCACAGCCTTCTTTTCTCCAGGCTGAACAAGCCCAGCTCCCTCAGCCTGTCTTCAGAGGGGAGGTGCTCCAATCCCCTGATCATCTTCGCAGCCCTCCTCTGGACCCTCTCCAACAGCTCCCTGTCTTTTTTGTATGGGGGCTCCACACTTGGATGCAGTATTCCAGATGAGGCCTCACAAGAGCAGAGTAGAGGGAACAATCACCTCCCTGTCCCTGCTGGCCACCCTTCTTCTGATGGAGCCCAGGACACCATTGCTTTGTGCGCCGCGAGGGCACACTGCTGGCTCATGTTAAGTTTTTCATCTATCAGGACCCCCAGGTCCTTCTCCACAGGGCTGCTCTCAAGGACCGCTCCTTCCAGTCTGTAGGGATGCCTGGGATTCCTCCGGCCCAAATGCAAAACTGCACTTTGCCGTGTTGAACCTCATCAGGTTCACCCGGGCCCACCTTTCTAGCCTCTCGAGGTCCCTCTGAATGGCATCCCTTCCTTCAACCGTGTCGCCCGCACCACTCAGCTTGGTGTTGTCAGCAAACTTGCTGAGGGTGCACTCGATTCTGTCATTGATGTTATTGATAAAGATGTTAAAGAGCACCGGTCCCAGGATAGACCCCTAATGCCACTCGTTACTGGCCTCCACCTGGACATAGAGCCATTGATGACCACTCTCTGTCTGTGGCCTTTCAACCAGTTTCTTATCCATCGAGTGGTCCACCCATCGAATCCACATCCCTCCAGTTTGGAGAGAAGGATGTGGTGGGGGACCATGTCAAAGGCCTTGCTCAAGTCCAGGTAAATGACATCAGTCGCCTTTCCCTTGTCCACCAATGCTGTCACTCCATCATAGAAGGCCGCCAGATTGGTCAAGCATGACCTTCCCCTGGTGAAGCCGTGCTGGCTGCCACGGATCACACACCCTTTCCTCATGTGATCAAGCATGTCATCCAGGATGATCTGTTCCATGATCTTCCCAGGCAGAGGTGAGACTCACCAGCCTGTAGTTCCCCAGGTCCTCCTTGCTCCCTTTCTTGTAAATGGGAGTGACGTGACCCTTCCTCCAGTCATCCGGGACCTCACCTGACAGCCACGACTTCTCAAATATGATGGAGAGCGGCTCAGCAACCACCTCAGCCAGCTCCTTCAGAACCCTGGGATGCACGCCATCCGGCCCCATAGACTTGTACACATTCAGTCTCATGAGGCGGTCTCGGACCTGCTCTGTCCTCACAGCGGGGGGGGATTTACCGACCCAGTCCCCACCTGGAGGTTTAGGGATGCAGGGCTCAGGGACGTGAGAAGTACTGGAATCCTGGCCGCCAGTGAAGACCGAGGCAAAGAACTCATTCAGTACCTCAGCCTTCTCTTCATCCGTTGAAGCCAGTTCTCCTTTTACATTTACCAAAGGAGGTACACTCGCTTTGGCCTGTCTCTTCTGGCCAATGTACCTGTAGAAAATCTTCCTATTGTTTTTCATGTCCCTCGCCAAGTTCAGTTCCACCTGCGCCTTGGCTTTCCTGATCCCTGCAAGTCCGGACTCAACCCTGTATTCTTCCCAGGTGACACACCCTTGTTTCCAGAGCTTGTACGCACCTTTCTTTGCCCTCAGCACTCCCAGCAGGTCCTTGCTGAGCCATGCCAGCTTCCTACCTCCTCTGCCCGCTTTCTTGTTCAGAGGGATACTGTTATCTCCTATGTTGTATCATCCTTTCTAAAGAATGCACAGAGTTCTAATAGTATTACTGCTATATAAAACCCAATCACAAATCATAATTTGTATCACAGATTATTTCCTTTATGTATGTCTTTTCTATTTCAGTTGTAGCCCTTTCTTACAGCAGAATGATGAAAGTGAGGACCTCAGTACCTCAGTTTGTAGTATATTGAATTATTTGATCTGAGCGGGCCAGATACTTGCTTTGGTACCTTTTCAGCTTTTTGATGGAACTGCAATGTTTTCTTCTTCTCTCTTTAGCTAGAACTTTGGTTTTTTTGTGTGTGTGAATAACTCAAACTGAGCTTTGTCAGTAAGATAAAGCCTGGCCAGCTGTGTTTCATGAAGCATATTTATCATACAGAACTCAGAAATCGTCATAGTTGCTCCTTTCTTTTAGAAGCATACAAGTCACTAGCATTGTATTAAGGACTAAAAACACTCTGGGATAATTCTATTTCCTTTCCAGGGATTTTATGGCCAATGCTTTGGGGAAGATAGCGTGGAAGTGATTAAAGACTCTGCTCCTGTCGACAAAAGAAAGCTGGATCCCAATAAGGTAAGGAAAGTACTACTTACAGAGTTGAGTGCTTCTTCATCACAGAGGAGAGGGATCTCCTTGAAGCTTTTATACTGAAACATTAAGGTGGGTTATAGCCTATGCAATGGTAGCTAGTCACCATGGGTGGAAATTAGATGCTCTGATCCCCCAGGGTTATGTTGCGCCCTCTCCAGAGGTAAGTTTTGTCAGCTCTGAAGAAGAGAAGGATTTGTAGTTCTGTGCTCTTCCAGACCATGCTTGGCTAAGTGAGAATTATTGTATGTACCATTCCTTTACACTTCTTTCACTGTAAAGTACTGTAATGGTTCTTCCCTTTTCTCTCAGGCATACATACAGATTACTTTTGTGGAGCCATATTTTGACGAATATGAGATGAAAGACAGGGTAACTTACTTTGAAAAGAACTTCAACCTCTGTCGGTTCATGTACACTACGCCTTTCACCATGGATGGGCGCCCTAGAGGAGAACTTAGTGAGCAGTACAAGAGGAACACCATTTTGACCACAATGCATGCTTTCCCCTATGTCAAAACTAGAATAAATATCATCCAAAAAGAAGAGGTAATTGGGTTTTGAGGACAAATCTACTTTCTTGGTGGTTGAAGGAGTCTGGGGGGGAAGGTTTTGAAATTCTGTGCTAGACAGAAAAAAAAAAAAAGCTGAATTTTTCAGATATTACTCTCATAAATAGGAATGGCATAGAATGGGTAGACAACTGTAAGATGGATACTTACTGTGAAGAAGAAAAGGCAGAACATTTAAATTCTTTTTTTTTACTTCTCATATGCTGTGCAGAATACATCAAGCTCCATTTATGCCTATGCTTCCAGCTGATAACATACAGTCAAAGAACTAAATTGCGCTTAGAGTTGCAATGGAGACAAAGAACTTTTATTATAGTAGCAAAACTCTTTCAGACATCAAGACAGCAACTTAGAATAATAATGAGTATATGCAAATGGAGAATCTCATCCAAATCCCGTTCTTGCAAGTGATAAGATGCCAATAAGCTCTAAATCAGATGCGGCATTTATCAAGACAGTCTTCCCAGGGTTCACACCTACTCTTACCACACGGGGCAGTTATATTTTTAATGCCATATTTAGAACAGGTCAATTATGCAGGTGGTTCAGGTAATGAATCGTTTCTTCTTCCACTTCCAATAGTTTATTTTAACACCAATTGAAGTTGCTATTGAAGATATGCGGAAAAAAACACAAGAACTAACTGCAGCTACGAACCAAGAGCCACCAGATGCTAAAATGCTACAAATGGTTTTGCAGGGCTCAGTTGGAGCCACTGTAAATCAGGTAAGGAATCCAAATAAGCCAGATGATGATATTCTGCATACTTTTCTGCTCATGCTTTTTTTTGCACTTATCTCTTGACAGGGAGAAGTACATCCAGTCAGACACATTTATTCACAATGCCAGTTTAAACTTTATCCTTTGATACCTAGTCCTTTTATTCTGTCTATTTGGTAGTCTTTTTTTTTTTTTTTTTTTTTTTTTTTTTCCATTGCTGAAGCAATTCTCAATTAACACAGCTCCTCCATCAAGTTTGTTATGTGGGTGTGCCAAGTAGAGGTGAAGTCAAGCAGACATAGGAGTGTTTCTTTTGGTGATAGTGCATGATGAAATGCTATCTTGGTTGTACATGCAGATACTCACTCATATAAGCCTTGTGATTTCATTCAAGGATTTTCTGTTTCTAGCAGCTAGCCATCTCAGCTATTTTGTTCACTCCAGGTACATCCTCAGGGAGCAAGCATAATAACTCCGCCTGCAATCGTTATAAATTCACAGTTTGCAGAACTTCATGAAGCCAAAGAGATGAGTGCCTCCCCCCACCCCCCCAAAAAAAAACAACCACACAAAGATGCTCTTAAAATAACATAAAGATGTCCAGTACCTAAAAAGGCTTCCCCCAAAAAAGGACAAAATGAAGACAAATATGAGAGAAAACTTGGCATTATCCACCTTTTCAGAGTTGGATTCTTTGCCGAAAGCCTAATTCCTCTTGGTTTCTCCAGATTCTTGGTCAGTGGAAGCCCCAGAGTGAAGTAACATGATGTAAGCTTTGAAAAGAGCAGCCCCTTTCTGCCCTGGTTTTATCTAACTCCCTTGAGATGGAGTAATGCCACACATAGGCTTTGGCAGTACATCTGCCTAGCTCTTCTCTGAAGAGTGGAATTGGTTCTTACTCTTCTTTGTGGGCATGGAGGATAAGTAAAAGCAGGTAAGGGTAAAATACAATGTGCAAAAACTGTTTGCCAATGGTAAGTTAAGAGAAAAGAAACGAAAAACATCCTGTTATGGTGACTGTGCATAGACGTCTTCTCTAATTTCATGCATGAAATGACCAAGCATATGGTCTGTTTTCAGTCTTTTCTGACGTTTTCTTTTGTTGTTCCTGTAAGGGACCACTAGAGGTAGCACAAGTGTTCCTGGCTGAAATTCCAGCAGACCCCAAACTTTATCGACATCACAACAAACTGAGGTTGTGCTTCAAAGAGTTTATAATGAGGTTAGTAAAACCAAATTTAAATATGGAATGGCATTGATAATTTCAGTAATGGCAATAATGAGACAGTAATATGACAGTGTAATTAATTTTACAAGCTAGTACCACAAATCTAGGCATCTCATACTTCAGGGTTGTTGGTCCAGGCTTACTATCTCTGCTTTGTAAACAGTGCTTTGCTGGATTTTGCCTCCCAAATGAGAGTAAATCTTAAGACTTCAAAAGAATTATGTAGAAAAATAAGATTCAGCATTCATTTTATCTTTTGATATTTCACAGATTTAACACGAGATTAATGCCTTGATTTCACTACATGATATTTTTGTTTTATATATTAATATGCATGAGAGCTACTCCAAATTAATGCCTACGTTATGATGTTGGCCCACCACAACAGAAGCAGATGTTGGTGGTATGGCAGTAGAGGTTGAACCTTCCTACCAATATTCCATTACGCTCTCCCACATTACAGCTGTCAAAATGATATCCAACATGGAAATGCACATGAAGCAAAGGTGTGGCATTGAATTCTTCCATGCTAAAAAAAAATGGAACCCACTGACATTCATCAACACTTACAGAAAATGTTTACGGAGACCAAACAGTGGATGTCAGCACAGTGAGGCAGTGCGCGGTGCATTTCAGCTGTGGTGGCAGTGACAGTGGATCACCTGCGCTGGTTCAGGTTTTTACAAGCATGGCATGCAAGGCTCTTGTTCATCACTGGTGAAAGTACACAGCTAATGCTGGTGACTGTACTAAAAAAGAGTGTTTTGTAGCTGAGAACTTGCTCCACCAGTGTTATTGTGCTCTTTGTATCTGTTGTAGTTTCCATGGAAATAAATAGTATACATTACTTTCTGAGAGACCTACATATTAAATACTGTATTAATATATTTTATATATTAGCTCCCTCATGAATTTCTGATGTCTTTAAAATTACCACCTTGTGCACTTGGACAACACGGAGGTTTCTTACTAGTTCACCATGACTTTGGTATTGACAAGTTTCCAGAGCCCAGAGGAGCTGGTGTCTTGTCCATTCAGGTTATCTAACACACAGTTAATGAATTGAGCAGAATTAGGTAATGCATATTGTGCCTTCTTCTCTTCCTTTCGTCTAGGTGTGGTGAAGCAGTGAATAAAAACAAGCACCTTATTACTGCTGACCAGCGGGAATATCAGCAAGAACTCAAAAAGAACTATGGGAAGCTAAAGGAGAACCTTAGGCCCATGATTGAGAGAAAGATCCCAGAGCTGTACAAACCTGTAGTGAAAGTTAACAGCACCAGGTACGGTTAGGGCAGGGCTTCCTCTTGCAGCTATATAAAAATATGCCTCTTTTTAAAGGAAGAAAGGCTGTTCTACCAGTAGGTTTTGAAACGTAGCAAAAAAACAGGCCATAATACAGACTACTAAATTCGTCTTTGATGGATTTATTCATCTGGAGCTGAATATAGTTTGAATTCGGTCTCTCAAGCAGCTCCATTATGCATTATAATACAAAACAAGAAGACTTTCCATTTGACCTAATAAAGAGTGAATTGAATTATCTTGCCATTTCTTAGGCATCTGAAGCCAGACAGAACATGTATGTGTTTATTTTGAACATGTGGCACTGTCTCATGTTAGCCAGCATGAAGTAAGAGTGATCCTTTCCATAACATAATCTAGTTCAATGCCTTAACTGTGACATAAGAGTTTTAATTCTTCTCTTTACTTATGAATATATACCACTTCACTGTGTCCAGAGTGGGGAGAGAGGGGAAGAAGGAATAAGCCTCTGATCTCCCAACACATAACATGTTTCAGATGGTGATTTGTCAGCTGCTCCTTTTCAAGGGCAGGTATTTCCTAGATATTTTTTCATTTGCAGACTTTATTTGTGGTTTCATTTAATTGCAGGGAATCGTTTCGTAACCAGAGTTTCAGGAAGTATGATGCCCAGACTTCACAGAGCACCTAAGGACTAGCTGCTTCTGCCAAGGAAGAGCTTTGTGCCACAAGCCAGAAGTATTCAACACCAGTAAAATCATAAATCTCCTCATACAGAACAGCATGTGTGCTTTCTGGACAGCATACAGAAAAGCATTTACATGTGATCTCAGAAGACTCCAAATCATCTGTAAATCATGAGGGCTTGGAAGGGAGGGGTTGCTTTTTAGATGCTTTTGCATTTATTGTAAAATAGTCATGTAATGCCAAGGATGGATGCCATTGGAAGGGTCAGTGGCATGATACTGGTCACCACTGACAGACTCAGAACTCTGTGAGGGTTGGCTGAGGCGTTACATGAATCCAGACAAGATGTCTACTGAGTGCTAAGGAATGATGTCTATTTACTTTCCTTTTCCAAAAACAGCATTTGTCCTTGTCCACTTGGCGGGAGAGCACATTCTGCAAGTTAATCACATGCTTAAATGTTTTCTTAATGACAGGGGACATAGGTACCTGCTCAGTGTCCGCTGAGCTGGAGCTTTAGTTAGGAAAAATTCCCTTGGGCAGTTTCTGTCACTAGTTTCCATCACAGTCTTTAACTGCCGAGAGAGTTCTGCACAAATTCTTTCACCAAAGCTCAGAAAATAGGAAGTAGCAGCAAGGAATTTTTACAGATTTTTTAAAAATGTTTAAATGTAGAGACAGTTACTTGACACACAGTTGGATTTCTTAATAATTAATGTCATGTTTAGCAAAGCTAACGAGTAATAGTTTAAAATAGAAGGCGCTAAGCTATGTAATTTTTGTGATTTTTATTATGTAATGCTATTATGTAAATAACCTTTTTCAAAGTTACAGCATGCAATGAGAGAATTTCCTACAGTGCACTTACTCAGGCTTTACTGCATCTTTGGAGAAATTAGCACGTAATTTATGATGCCCAATGCTTAGAATTTTCTGAGCCCTGGACAAATATTTTACTAAATAATTTTCACAGCACTTCTCTGAAGTAAGGAAATATTACTGCTATTTTGCAGATGGGGATAAGGATGTTGGTACGCAACAAAAGCTGTTAAGACTTCAGAACTCATTTAGTGAGGCCACGGCAGAGTCACAGTTTGCACTGTGTTTACTGTGTAATGCTTATGTTTTGAAATAAAATTCCCTCGATATTACTTCTTTTCCTCTACTTTTTTACTGTTCGGAAATGATAGTTCAGTGCTGATTAGAGTGACTGACCCCGTTTGACCAACTGCATAATTCAATGTTAAAATTTCCAATGAAACAGTAAAACTGAGATGTATGTTGTTTTAGACGATTGCAACGAACATTCCTGAAGTGCATGCCACCAAATTCTAAACACAAGGCTGAGGCTGCTGCTTTTAGCTGAAACATTTTGACATTTTATTTTCATTTGCAGCCTTTTCATTAACAACAGAAATCTTCCCCAGCACCTCTATTGACATCCTAGGGAGGCAGGTTTTGCACGTGCAAAGTAGAACATTCATGTGGAAGCAGGCTAAATAAACTCTGTAATACACAGCACTTAGAGGGCAAGGAAAAAATTTCCTTCTCACTCTCAGTTTTGCATTACAATTGTAATGATTAAGTGATTCTGAAGTGAAAGCAACCAAAGGATATTGACAAATGCTATAAAAAGCTCAAAGCAATAGATGCCTCTGTGGAGTGGCTTTTCTGCACTAAAGCTGCTTGGAAACAATTTTAAAACAATTGCTTAGAAGCTGTAAGATCTCTGCCTGTCAAAGCCCACCCTCTTACCTACTGTCCTTAGTAGTACTGTTCCATTCTGGAAGGGTAGAATACTGTCACCTATCAGCCCTGCAACCCAGCCTCGTTGTTTACAAGATGCTTACCTTTAACAGCTAAATAACAGAAGTCTCAGGTAAACAAAGCAAAACAAAACACAGAAAATCCTATGGTAAGGACATGTTCCATGTTGTGTGATCCTATGCCATTGGTCTCCTTGAGTTGTAACAATTCTCTGGATAATCATCTGAGTCCTAAAGGCCTGGTTGCTCACATTTTATGAGCTGAGCTCAGCCATTTGGCTGCTCTAGCCCTCAGTTTGTAGCCCATGTCCTCTCTTTGCAAACGAAACATGGTTTGTACATTGCTCTTGAGACATGAACTATATGAAATGTATTAAACATAGTAGTCAAAAATAAGTGATCTCAGCATGGGCTATAAAATTGCTTTTCTATGCTGTGAATCAGTTTTATTGTATAGAGAAAATATGGATCTAGTAATTCTTTAGAAAGTATTCATTTTTACTGAAAAAAGGCTTTTCTGTGTTTGCCTGTATGTGTGATGTTATACAAGCGTGCATTGGATGCCTAGCATTGAAATCCAGATCACAAAGCAGGTGAAATTCTAATAACCAGATAGAGAAGGAATTTCAGCTAGATGGCAAAGAAGCATGTTTTGTGCTATTTAGCAAACATCTGTGAAACAGCTGGACAAGAGGATTATTTCCTACTCTACATTTCTGATTTTCCAAATGCGAGTGCCTGAGCAAGCTCCTGTTCCCAAAGGGTCTTCATGAATTCTGCTTAGCATTGCTGATACAATCAAAACCTGAAATTGCCAGAATGCAATCTTTGTACTCCAACTGAACAACTGTTTTGGTTCATAATAAGCAATGAGGAGAGGAAGTAGGCACAAAACCATCTCCTTTTCTTTGTTTGTGGGTCAACTTGAAAAGAAATGTACAACCTCTTTTCAGGTATCAAAAAAATGGTTGGAAGTATTCCCAGAGGAGTAAGTCCCTTCTTGAGTGAAGGCACAAAATCCTGGGCGCAAAACTGAGCCCTTTGGATGGCGTGTTCCCTCACTGAGAAGACAATTAAAAAGAAAAAAAAGAATGTTGGTAGCAAGAATAACTTCACAAAAATCAAGCTGATGTTTTTTGCCTCAAAGGTTCTGGGTAGCCCAGAATGAAGCTGCCTCCAATGCAAATTTATGCTGCCAGGTTTTAACATTTGGGTGTACAACATTAGGCCACCAGGGTCTAGGAGATTTCAAAGAGGTCTGCTGATGTAACAGGCCTCAACCACTGACTACACAGAAAGCCATCCATATGAAATACAGTGATGGGAGAACAAAAGCCTAAGATCCAGCACGCTGCAGAGAACATGATGGAAGTGGAGTTATGAGCAGGATGGAGTGCTGCATGCTCTTCACTCCCCAGACTGGAGCACGCAGCACCAAATGCATGGTTGGTGTGCTTTCGTGGAAGCTGCCAGGCAAAAAGTATTCAGAGAGGATTAAAAAAGGAGAAAATAGATATATATATATATTTTTTTTAATATTCCTTTTTTTTTTTTTCTTTTTTCTTTTCATACAACACTGGAGTACAACTTCTAAATAGGTTTGGGACCTCCTTATCCCAACATGGCCTGAACTCCAAAATTTAAACATAGGATCAAAAAGTAATTGGATAATTCTACAGAAGAATGGTACAGTGGGAGAAGTTAGACTGTGATGAAGGTGCAGCCCAGCTGAGGAAGCCTTTGCACTGCAGCATCCCAGAAGACTGAGGGTGTATAATAACAGCAGTATTTTCTTATACATGCTGTAATTTTATCCCCTCCCGAGCATCTGCTTCAGCTCTGGTCAGAGACTGGCTGAGGTGACTCTTACTTATGCCATGAAATGTTTAAAGCAGAGGACGTACTGGCAGCGTGTGCCAGCATGGACATAACATCCAGAGCGATGAGGAAGCCTGAATGCACCCACAGCTGCCCTCACATCCCGGCCCTCTGAGTGCTGCTGCTGGCACAAACGGCAGCACCAGGCTGCTGTGGGTGCTTCACTGCTGCTGGGTCCCCTCTTCCTGCACGGGGCTGGGAAATCCACCTGGAGATTCAGGTTGTGCTGTTTCTCACACACACAGCAGCTTACGAACAAATCAGGAGAAAGAGAGGGCAAAGGCAGAAAGTCCTTCTGTTTCTTCTAGCACCGATGTACTGCTGTACTCCCTGAGCAATGCAGGTTATAACCCCACCCCCACTGCAGGCACCATCACAGGGCACTGAATGTGGCACCACGGGACATCACCCATGGAGGCCATCTTCCCTGAAAGGCAGCTGCACCTTGCTGCACCACGGAGTGTTCCCACAGCCCACTAAGGGAAAGCATTCAGCGCACGGTATTTGCAGCTGCAGAACTGGTGTATATTTAATCCTCTGTTTAACCTCAGCCGCCTGTTTTCAAACAGTTCCCATCTCTGCCCGCAGTGATGCTGCCAACCCCTTGACCCAGTGCTGCATCTGACCTCTGTGAACCCACATGAGGGTTGGGAAGGACAGGCAAGTGCAGCAAGGAGCTGCAGTCAGGTTCACTGAGGTTCACAGGTGTGCAGGAGAGCACTGAAGAGACTCCATAGCAGAGCTGGACACACCAACACGGGCTGCCGAGGAAGCTGTGCAATGCCAGTGTTGGAAGTAAGGTGGAATCAGAGAATCCCAGAGTGGCTGAGGCTGTCGGGCCTCTGTGTCCTTCTGGCCCAACCCCTGCTCAAGCAGGGACACCCAGAGCGGGGTGCTGAGGGCCACGTCCAGGCAGCTTCTGAAGATCTCCAAGAAGGAGACTCCACAGCCTCTGGGCAGCCTGTGCCAGGGTTCAGTCACCCACACAGCATAGAAATGCTGCCTGATGTCCAGGGGGAACCTCCTGTGTTCCAATTTGTGCCCTTTCCCTTTTGTCCTGGCACTGGGCACCACTGAACAAAACCTGGCTTCAAACACTTTGCGCCCTCCCCTCAGACATTGATGGTCATTGATAAGATCCCCCAAAGCCTAATTTTCTGTAAGTTTAAACAGTCCCAGTTCTTTCAGCCTCTCCTTTATGAAAGAGATGCTCCAGTCCCTTCATCATCTCGGTTCCTCTCCACTGGACTCTCTCCACTATGTCCAACTGTCTCCTGTACTGGGAGCCCAGAACTGCACACAGCACTCCAGGTTTGACCTCACCAGCACTGCTCAGAGTGGAAGGAGCATCTCTCTCAACTCACTGCTAGTTCTTTGCCAAATGCAGCCCAATATACCGTTATGCTCCTTAGCAGCAAAAATTGCCGGCTCATACTTTAACTTGGTGTCCACTAGGATCCCCATCCCTGTTCTGCAGCTGGATTCCCCTAGCATGTCTTGGTGCCAGGTGCAGGACTCCACACTTCTGGCTGAACTTCTCAAGGTTCCCATCAGCACACTTCTGCAGACAGCTGAGGGCCCTCAGAATAGCTACACAGCCTTTGGCCTATCAACCCTTCCTCCCTGTTTTGTGTCATCTGTAAACAGGCTGAGGGTACCTTCTGCCATTACCCTGATCGTTAACTACTATGTTAAATAGCACTGGAAATTTGCCCTCACTTCAGCAACCAACCAGAACTACTACAGCATTGTCTGCAGGAAAAGCAACAAATCTAGAAATGCTTTGAGGACTAACTGATTTTTGAATCCTCTGCAGGGCTCTGTATGCATAGAATACTTCTAATTGAGCTGCCACTGGCATGGATTGAAACACCAAAGTGCATTCAGAGATACAACCAGAAGCATGCGATGTGTTGAAAACAAGGATTCCTTGTCTGTTTGAGGATGGTCTGACATGGCAAGAGGGTGTCTGTTTCTATACAATAACACCTGCATCCCAAATGAGGCCCCTGGCTGTCAAAAATGAAGCTGTAGGTCACTTCAGTTTACAGAGGAATCTGTACTCACTGTCTGCATCAGGTTTCGTTGCCAGGAGGTGCTCCCACTTATAGTCAGGAGTTTTTCAGAACATAAATACAGCTTTATTAGACCTGGCATGCAGTTGAGCTCATTCTGTTTCCTCCCTGTGCAGTGGTCAGTTTCAGATTCTTCAGAACCAAGAACCTCTGTGAGTTATCAGGGAGATCCCACACCCAAATCTAATGCTATAAATCACAGACTTATCTTCAAGGCATGTGTTCCAAGGGCAGCAGATGCAAAATGGGAAGGACGAACCCGCTCTCTTCTCCAACTAGATCATCTGTCAAGGTGAGACCTTGAGAGGCATCACTTAATAACCAGATAGGACCAGATGGGCCCATGTTGTTAAATTAATCAGAGAAAAGTAGGGAAGAGATCAACTGACCGTCCTTCTCATCACGATGCCAACCAAGTACTCCAAGTCTTCT